CATATTGCAAGGAACTCCATCGATATGCGCATTGATGGACTGTCTGTTACTGTTGCCACTCACTGTAGAAATCTTGAGCGCTTTAAAACAAGGTTTTTCATTATCTGGTAACCTCAGTTCCTTGATATGGTCATTAATTTGTTTCCTGCGTTGTTTCTGAGAAATAGTCTCAATTTTCGTACCCTGGGGTGTTCTGCAATTCTTTCATACGTGGCCTTCAGCTCCACAGTTTTAGCACTTTGGTTTCCTGTCAATCCTTTTTCCGTCCCATGACATTTAATTGTCTGTTTAACCCACCTCATATTTTCCCTGCTCTGGGGTGTTCAGCAGTTCTGCTATATGTGTCCTTTAGCTCCACAGTTCCAATATTTTAAGGTCGGTTTCTTGTCATTGATATTTCTTCTCAAGGTATTGAGTTGTCTGGTTCTTACATCGTTGCTGAGAAAATGGTCTCAATTTTCGTACCCTGGGGTGTTCTGCAATTATTTCATACGTGGCCTTCAGCTCCACAGTTCCAGCACTTTGGTTTCCTGTCAATCATTTTCCGGCCCATGACATTTAATTGTCTGTTTAACCCACCTCTCATATTTTCTCTGCTCTGGGGTGTTCTGCAGTTCTGCCATATGTGTCCTTCAGCTCCACAGTTCCAACATTTTAAGATCGGTTTCTTGTCATTGATATTTCTTCTCAAGGCATTGAGTTGGCAATCTCTACGAGTTGCTTGTTGAGCTGCCTCGAATTTCATGGCGTACACTAGAGCACTTTTTAAATCTTTAACATCCGCCATTCGTAGAGCCTTCTGTATTTCGGGATCCCGGATCCCATCGATAAAATACTGCAGGGACAGGATTTCCCTCATTTCTCTAGGGCACTATGTAAAGGCGAGATGAGAAAGCCTTTCGATATCGGTGGCGAGCTCCTGGAGTGATTCTGTTGATGGGATTTTAATTGAAGCCTGCTGTAGTCTTTTAGACATTTCTCGCCAAAGCGCAGCTCCAATGTGCCGGATAAAGCTTCGAAGTCAAGTTTCTGGTTTTCGGGAAGAGTCTGCAGAATATCCGCTGCATTTGCTGTCAGAGAAGCGGCAAGATGACAGGCCTTAACTTGGGAATCCCATCCATTTGCGTCCGTCACTATTGAAAATTGTGTCGTATACACTTGCCAGCAGGTCTTCCCATCATAAGTGGATAGCTTCAGTGAGGGACAAGGAGGCACAGGTAAAAATGTGAAACTATCAGAATTGCTCCTTGCCGTCGCTACAAACTTCTTTAAAGTATCAACTTCTTTCACAATTGCTCAAACCCTGTCATCAGTTTGTTGTTCGATTTAGTGTTGGACGGCAAAACCCTTCCTTCGATTCGTTGTTCTACAACAGAAACTCTGTCTTCTATTCGATCTTTGAGAGAAGAAACTCTTGCTTTTATTTGTTCTTTTACCGAAGAAACTCTCTTCTATTTTTCCAACTTTAGTATCAACAGTGTCAATTCTGCCTTCCATAGCCTCAAATTTGTTTTCTCTATTATACAAGTAATATCTCTTTTCCTTTCTTCTTGACCTGCTTCAATCTTTTCTTGAATTGCTTTCATCTCTCTTTTAACGGATTTTTCTCCCGATTTCATTTCATCTTTAACGGATTGCTGTCCCGATTTCATTTCTTCTTTAACAGAGTCTTTCATCTCTTCTTTAAATGCAGCAAAGGCTGCCATGAATTGCCTTAACTGTTCTTCCATTGCTCTAGTAATTGGCATTCAAACCCCACTACTGACACCAAAAAGTGTTACGTGTGTACAGGTTCATTACAAAATGAACTTAATTCAAAACAGCTAAAGAAAGCTAATCCGCGAATTCGCTGCAATCAACAAGAGCAGTTTTCTAAACAAACTCTTAAAACAACAACAAAACTAACAATGAACTGAGAGGTTTTCCTCCTTTTTATAAGATTTTAAATCGTGCGCAAGAATTTTCTGGACCTGGCTGGCTTGCTCTCCGGATCTTTCGCCGATAGAAAACATGTATGTGGTCCATGGTTGCTGAACGATTGACCGAGATTACATCCCAAGCTGCCACACCAGATCAACTTTGGCAACGTATGGAAGCTGCTTGGTCTGCTGTACCCCAAGAACGCATCCAAAGTCTCTTTGAATCAATGTGTGTGGCAGCAGTGATCTCCAACAATGGTGGCTACTCTGACTACTGATTCTGGAAGGAACCACACTTCACAGAAGTCTATAAATTTAATCATTTGATACTTGTTCAACATGTTATCTACTAAATAAATTTTATTGTGATATCTCTTGTCTTTCTTGGTGTTGCGATTAGGGTGGCCAGCAGTGTATTACCTAAGCCAGTTCATGTTGTGAAACACATACATAATGTTATGGATTTCGTATTTAAATAGCTAATGTTAGTTGAATTATAAATTAAATTGTTTTATTCCCCGTGCAGTGTAGCGCGTGACGAATATTAAAGGAAAGCTAAGCCGGAAAGTTAAAAATACAAGAGTACATGCATTTAACATTTAATAAATAAATATCTCTTTTTGAGTTCCTGGCGATTGACCAAGAATCCTACGACAATGCGTGCCATGTGTGGTCGCGTATTATCCTGTTAAAATATGGGAAAGCCCTAAACGTAAGGAAGGACAACTGGCTCCAACACCTCGGAGGTGTAACGCGTGCTGTTTAAATTACCGGCAATGCGTACTAGAGGAGTGCGAGAGTGATATCCAATACCGCCCCATACCATAATACCCGGTGCATGACTAGTGTGGCGGAGCATAACGCAGCCGTTCAGCATCCTCTCTCCACAGTGTCTCCAGACTCGAATCCGACCATTGTGGTGTTGCAGACAGAAGCGTAATTCGTCAGTAAAGACAATTTCAATCCATACTGCCGTCCATATCCTTCTTTCATCACAACATTGACAGCGGAGACGTCTGTGGTTCTGCGTCAAGGGTAAATGAAGTAATGGACGTCTTGCAGACAGACCACTCTGCAGTAAAACGGCATCGAATGGTACGCGCAGACACTGGATAATGTGTTACAGACTGAATGTGCTGTGCTATAGTTCGTGCATTGACTGAGCGATCGGTCACTGCCATGTGCACAATGTTCCTTTCATCACGTGAAGTGGTGCACTGAGGTGGATGCGATCGAACACGCCGGTCTGTGGTACACTCCTGCATCCAACAGTCACATATCCGCATTACAGTTGTTTGGTTTCGTCCAACATTGCTACTGATTTCCCTGAAAGATAATCTACACTCTCGGCAGGCCACTATCCTTCCTCTGTCGAACTCGGGTACTTGATCAAACAATGATCGTTGTTTACTAAAAGGCATAATTGATCCCCCTTTTTTTAAAAAAAAACACAAGAAAAACACAAGTGTCGAACTTGAAATTGTTGAAAACTCCAAGCCTTAAATAACGCTTTGAAGTGGCGCCACAGGCGCGAGTGATGTGCGTCTGCGCTGAAATTCTAATCGTTTGTATATCTCACCTCCGTTGATGCATGTTGTAAATTCCATGTTATTTGCATGCTTCCTTCAGGTTGTTGCATTTATGGTGGCCAGCAGTGTACATATATATTAGAAAGTTGTTATATCATGAACCAGGCTCCTTCATGACAATGGTTCATTGCTCAGAAGTGATTCTAGGAGGAAGTTCACAAACTGCAGTTCTTTCTAAGCATCATTCTGGAACACTTGAAGTGTAATTTTGGTTTATATATATATGACAAGAATCAATTTATGTTTAGAATCTCTGTGTTTTTGTAATGCAGTGTTTATAGAGAAAATTTTGTTCCTGGATCCTAACCCCGTTCTCTTTTTTCTACAAACTACACTTTCTGCAGAAACTTAAACCTTTTAGAATACAAATTATACATCATTTGTCATAAATACTGAATTTTCCTAGCCTGTAATTTTAGGTGACTGCTGAAAATTATAATGTCTCAGCTAGATATAATTTGTTGTGCTTATTAAGTAAATAAATGGTCCTTATGATGTATCATTTTGTTCATGTAAATGCTTTGGTTAGGTTATTAAAGAGTGAAATAAACTTCACTAGAGATTGGAAGTCCCTTTCTGTTTAGATTTAAGGCTGATGAACTTTATCTGTTGTATGGTTATCTCTCACACTCTGAGTAAGGTAATGTTTATAAAATGCACTAAAATACTTTCATCCATATTAGAGTTTGAATCTAGTGTATGCCAGAAGCTTCCTGTAAACAAATACTCAGACAGGTGGTAATCCTTAACATAGTTCCTGTTAGATTGAAGCAAAACTCAAATTCCATATTTCACAGTAGTGTGCCTTTTAAAAAGTAAAAACTGAACTCATGTTATTTTACAGTTAGACACATAAGATCACAGCAAGCACTCACAGCTGACCACCATGGCAATATAAAATTTTTCATGAATGAAATTCATAGTTGTTTTGCATACATTAAAAGTTTTGTAGTATTTTTTGTAATAATTTATGTAATAGCCCAAAATTCAGAGTTTAATTTTAGATTCCTGTTTAGTAGTGGCTTGAAAAGCAACTTCATTTACTTTCACCATTTTAATTGTTCACTCACATGGAAAATTCTTTTATTGATGTAGAAATAATGGCGGAAACTCTCATTCTCGTAGTTATTGGTTTCATTTTACTAAATTTTTCATTCTAAAATATGCTTCACCTGTTAGTGTGTAAGCTATCTCAGTAGACAAAGCTTTTGTAACTATTTTTTTTTATGTTGTTTTATTAAAACTTAATCTATAATGATATTTTTATGGTAAAATTGATGATAGGTTGACCGGGACATAAAAATGGTTGGAAATTTGCCACTTCCATGTATATTTCCAGTTATTTTTATGTGTACATTAATTTACAGATTGTGAAATATCATTAAATGTCAAACAGTTGTATTTAAATAAATCCATTATTTTAAAAAAGTCTTAATTATATTGTGTTAAATGCATGACATTTAAAAAAAAAAGTTGTATGCTTTTTCATTGCATGATAAATACTGTCTTATATTTAAATATAGTCAGTACTGCTCCTAAAGAATTCAGAGGACCCAATCCAAATACTAAAATGTCAAAAAATAAAAAGAAAAAAATGCGTAAGAAAGCGAAGCGTCAGCAAGAATTGCTGGAAATGCAAATGCAGCAGCTTGAAGAATTAGAAATGGAAGAAAATTTGAATCAGGTATTACTTGAGTGAATATAGTATACATTTATGTTAATGTAAATTCACAGTTGTGATTGATTTAAAAATCTCTTGTAATTTTGAGATCTTAATGAAGTAACTTTTTATAATTGCAACATTTTAATTATGTGACTATAGCAATACGTTAACTAGTATTTGAATCATAGAAATTTTTCATTGTTAGTACTTTGTAAAGAAGTGACAAAGTGTTTTGCAAAATAGTTTTTCTGTTAATTTCTGTTTTTATATTTTCTATGCAAATGCTTAATTACTATTTCTGTACATGTAACAATATATGAAATACATGTTTGCTTTAATCATGCTCTGTATTTATTTAACCATACAGTTTTTAAATTTCAGTAAGTGTTGCATTTATAAAATTTATTTAGTTTTTCTTAAGCAAACATACATATTATGTATCATATGTATTTAATTTTTAAAACATATTAATTAAAATGTTGGCATATTCAATATTTTTAAGTTGCTGATGGGTATATTCAGTCATTTGTTTATTCATTCTTATTACCTTTTTTATGAATTTTAAAAAAATGTACATATGTTGACAATATTAAAAATCATCAGAACAATGTTTTGCAACTTTTGGCAATATCATTTACTGACTTTTTAGAATTAGCAGCAAAGCCTTTCTCAGGACATGAGAGATGCTTTTGATAGAAAGTACCTTAGACATATATAGACATACAAAGAGAATTATTAAAAAATTTTGGGTAAAACTTTAGGGCAGGGGCTTCCAACTCTATGCCCATAGGCACCATGGTGCCTACCGATCGTTTAACATGTGCCCGCCACTATGCGATCACGATAAAAATGTTAGTTTTCAATAAAATTCTGTGTGAAAGTTCTCATTTTTAACGAAATAGAAATTTGCGTCCAACACAGATATCAGCACAAAGCGAAATGCAACCAATCTTTTTTTCTTATGTGCATATATTATTAAATCTATCCAACTGTAAATCCACCTTAAAAAAGTAAATGGTGCCAGCCATTAAACAGATATTCTAGAGCAGCAGTGCCCAATCTTGTGCTCGCCACCCTGATTAGGTACTATGAACAAAAAATATTTTTAAAATAACCATTCATGTATATTTTTCTTAATTGTTAAAATGTGGTAAGCATTTATAGTCATAAGAGATATCTTGCAAAACGTTATAAAATAATTGATTGCTGACTGATGAACTTGATAGTGAAAATGAAATCTTATTGCTTCATTCCAATGTTAGATGGCTCAGCAGGGGAAAAGTACTTCAACAATTTGCAGAACTTCTTTCGCCAATAAAACAGTTTTTGGAACCTGGAAACAAAAGTTATAAAGAATTGGACGATAATAATTGGTTATCCGATCTGTGTTTTCTCACGGATATAACACCTTAACTGAACAAACTGAACGAAGATCTCCGGGGAAAAGAAAAAACCCTTTTTCAATTGACTGGGACTGTAACTGCTTTTCAGATGAAGTTAAATTTTTGGATAAATCAGATGAGAGAAAAAATTTCACCCATTTTCAGAATTTATTAAGCCATTTTAATAACCACAATACAATTGAAACAGAGAAATACTCGGAAAACCTAAATGCACTGAAAAATAATTTTGAACTCCGCGTCTCTGATTTCCATAAAGTTCAACCGATATTATCATTCATCTCAAACCCATTTGCCAAAATTAATATTTCAGGTGTATCACTTAAGATTGCAAATATGTTTAACAAAAATGTTGATGTTTTGGAATGTGCTCACAATAGACCAAAATGTGCTCGCTATAGGCAAATGTGGGTACCACTGTTCTAGAACATGCTCTTAGGGACAAAAGGTTGGGGACCTTTGCTTTAAGCGATGATAGAGAACACTTAAGCAAACATTTATAAATGTATTCTTATGCAAAATTTCTCTCTCACATGGGTTTTATCATTAAAAGATGTGTAGTACATAATTAAAAAAAAGGGAAAGGATTATTTTTATTGATAATTATGTAAATTTTTTTAAAGTACTGCTGTTTAGTTTATACTTAACAGCTATATATAGTATAAGTGCTATACATATTTTCAAACATAGAATTTGGGAAATAAAATCTTCAGCTTTCAAATATAAAATAAAATACGTTTGACGGGAAAACAGTATTTTGTTCAGATACTGTACAGATGTAGGCAGTGTGATTATAGTATGGCCTGCTGAATTAAGAGACTAAAATCAGTTTTTGATGATAAGGCCCACGTTTCAATGGTAAGGCTGCATTTGATGAATTATGCATAAAACCTTTTTTATTATAATTATATTTTTAATGAATGTAATAAAAATGAAAAAATTGCAATTGAAGGTTTTTAATTTTCTGTGCTAAAATAGGATCGTGTAGTTGGTGATGGAGATAATATAGAAGGTGAACAATTAGACAATGACAGCAGGTGTAATGGAAGCTCAGATGACAATTGTGGTAAGTTAGGAAGAATTAAAACGGTTAATTTTACTTGTATTCTATCACATCAGTGAAAATTGTATTAAATGTTTTTATAGCAGTTTTCATTATTATAACATGTGTAATCTTTTAAATAATATATAAATAATATTTAAATGAATATAATATTTAAATAATCTTTAAGCAATAACCCAAGTCTGTGATATGTATGGTTTTTACCATTTGATAAGTGAGTCTCATGACATTTCAACAACATTTTTTAGCACTGAATCCAAAAATGATCATTCTTTATCACAGGATCTTTTGTAAATCCCAAATTTCAAAATTATTAAAAAGTTAGAAAATTGCAAAAACAGAACTTTAAAATAGGCATAAAATGCTTTTTGTATATATAATTTATTCTTTTGGGCGAGGGTATTACTAATTCTTTTAGAAGTTAAGGACTTATAAGTACTTACTTATAAGTTAAGGAGTTGGATAGGAGGAAGGATTTCCATTGATCCCTTCAGTTTTCTAATGAAAATTTCAGCAGGTATATTAAATATAAAATGCTACTTAATGAACCTGATTTTCTATTGTATGATATTTTCGTGTAATCCCATTAATTTAAAAGGTACATTGGGCTCTTGAACGTTTTTGAATTATTTTTTCATTAGTGTTTATGCTGTTCTGCTGAAAAGCAATTATTTTGTTATCAGGCTTTAAATGAACATTATTTTAATCCCAGATTTGATATATAAAGTTATATTGTATGTGCATAGCTTAAGTTTACAGCATTTTGCAACATATCACATAACGAAGACATCATTAATATAATTCATCTTATAAACACAATGTAAATTCACTGTATTAATGAACAAAATAAGTTGCTCTATATTCTCTATTAACTGATTTTTCTCTTCTTTTTCCTGTATATAAGTATTATATATCTAGCATATGATAACTTATAAAATATGTGTTAATTGATTGTTTATCTTAAGGCTCTTCTGTTCAGTAATGGGCTATTAAAAATTGGAATTTTGCAGTAAAAGATTTTGCTCTGATTTGTGATTGTGTGTAATGTTGCCACCTGTATCCTTACATGTTTCAAAAAATTTTAGTAAATGATTATAAATTCAGATTTAGATCAAAACTAAAAGAAATTTAATTTTCAAATGAGTAAATTTTGGTATTTTAGAGAAATAAATTTTACTAATTAAAAAGCATGTTTTAGTTGTGTACATAATAGAAACAGTAGTTAGTATCAAACTGTTGCAAATTTATGAATAAAAAACATTTCTTTAAACATGTGTAATCTATAATTAGTAAAATTAATAGGAAAAAGTGTGTTTAAATTTTTCTTTGTGATTTATTCTTTACATGTAGTAAATATATAGATTGTTTAGGTATTACAATTGTTAAAATTCTTTCATGGTGTTAGGCCCACCAGCGGCCGAGCGGTAAAGTCGCTGAACACTGGTAGTTCGGTCCGAGGTTCGAATCCCGCGAACGGGCTGGCTGCATGGGCGTTTTCGTGGTTTTCCCCCATGTGTAACGTGTATACGAGCCAGTTTCCCTTAGAAAGACCTCCACGAAGGCATCCCTCCCCCTTAGGCAGATAGCCCTCGAGGCTTTGCCATAATCACACACACTTTCATGGTGTTATATTGTATGCAGTATTGAGCAGCAGATACTAAAAGTAAAAAAAGAAAAATTCCATTCAATAAATTTGCTAGAATTGCTCTTTTTATTATGTCAGATTTCGAAACTCTTTAAATATTCTGAATGTTTGTATCAACTTTTTAAATATTAGAATGTATGTAGCTAAATGACTATGTAGCATTTAAATTTTTCAAAGATAAGAGTCTTCGAATTTTTTTAATATGCTATGCTAATATGAATTGTTACATTTTTGCAATATTTTGCATGAAATTACATATATGTTTGCATGAAGTTACATATATGTTTTAATAGTTAGACTTCCCATTTAAAAAATTTCGGGCAAGAATAATTTTTGGTCACATCAGTGGTTATGTTATTTGTTTAAAAAATAACCATAGTATTAAATGTGTGGGACACTGCTATGCCCTATCAGTGGCCAAGTGGTTGAAATACATGAATTCTGGATGTTAAACTTGGATTTAATCCCAAGTGAAAGATTTGGCTGCATGGTTGGTTTTCCTGATTTTCCGTATGTGTAATGTTATTGCGAGCCAGTTGCCCTAAAAATTTTTCCACAAAGGCACCCATTTCCTCATGTGCTGTGCCATATTCAAAGAAGCTAACTTGTACTGAGACAAGCCTTTTTTTTTTTTTAATTTATTTATTTTTTTATTTTGTTATATGTATAGATAGGTAGATACTTATTGCTTTCGCCCATAACACTGTTTGTGTTTTTACAGCAAAAGACTAATTTCTTTGGAAATTCCAAATGGAAATAAGCAGTTTTGCATTGATTAAACAAAAGAATCTTTGCTTGTATATATATTTTTAATATGAAATTCTTGAACTCATCAGCAATAAGTTTTAATATAATTAATTATCATAGTTTTTTTAACATGTTCTCTTTTTTTTTTACTTTTGTCATGAATTTAGGAATACTGGTTTTGTTTATTTATTTATTTTTTTAAAGTTAAATATGGAAAATGTCGTGTACTTTCTTTTGCATAGTCAGTAAAGAAATTTTATTTTTTTTTTTTTTAATCCTAAAAGTGTAACAAAATTTAACATAAATGCAACAAAGTTCAGACCTTGGCACTTAAAGCAGTCTTTTTCCATATGTTAATTTTTAATTTTAGTTGACTAACTTTTTGTTTCTCTTCCAGGCCAAAACACCCACATGACTAAATCTACATATAGGCATTCCCCTAGTGCTTCAATTTCTCCTTCAGCTGGTTATTGTAGTCCCACACATTGTGAAAATATACCAAGGATTGGGAGTGTTGAAAGACCTCGCCTCTCTGTGTCAGCAGAAGGGCTGTGTAATGGTCATGAAGAAGGACTTTGTAATGAAGATGAATCTTACATGATGTTGAGGGGGAGGCTAGAAAGATCAGAAAGCACATTAACTCCTTCCTGTCACCAAAAATCTAAAGAACCTGAAATTAGGAGGGTTGCATCTTGCCCAGGTATTTATTAATGTGTACTCTCTACAGTTTATTTTATATTTGTGTATAAATCATTTGTCAAAATATGATTTGTAAAACAAATAAAATTTTATGTAATGGGAAAATTATTACCATATTCACTAACACATTTCTTTCCCTAGCTTTTTAGTGCAAAAAATCTGAAAATTTTTTTAATATTCATTTAAGAATTCAGAAAGTAAGCTTCCCTAAATTTCAAAATGAATTTGTACGCATAATGGTTGTTTTCTTCTTACTAATTGATTTGTTCATGGATTTTGAGTGCATGGGCTTTGATTTATGAAACAATTAGAGTAAAGAGTTTCAAGAAAACAGGGATATCGTAATGCTGGTAATGGTTCTGTAAATCATTGTATGAGAGATACAGACTGAACAGTGACAAAGACGGCAATGACGACGATTTGCAAGCTGCAGCAGACAACACAGACAGTAAGTACCATTGAATTATTTCATTCTAGGGAGTAATCAGTAGACAACAATAAGAGCAGGCAAGATTCAAGATGCAGAGAAGTAGAAATGAAGACATTTTTAGAAGGGTTTCAAGGCTGTTTAATTAATGTTTAAAATTTAAATGTTCAATCTGATAGCCTTTTTTGCTGGACAAAAAGTCTGCATTTTGATTTCCATGATTAAAGAAGAGCTTTTTATAAAATTTCCAGACTTACTGATTTCTATTCCTTTTTCACTACTTTCCATCAATCTTGCTGGGTTTGCGCTTCGAAACAGCTCTTTTCAAGAAACCAGAGACACAATACTCTATAGGTGAAACGTCAGGAAACTTAGCGGGATTATTGAAAAGGAATATATGCAAAACCTGTATCGGTCTTCCTTTTTTCTCCGGAAATTCAGTGGTACCTTTCATGAGTTATTGCTTGTCTCGATAAAGTTTCACATTTTGAAAGAATAAAAAAATGAAATTTCATCTGTAAATATCAGACATAACACTTTCTCTTGAATAGTATGTTGATTTGATTTTAACATTTTCCCCCCTCTTCTTATTTTGCATTTTCTGTTGTAAGAGAATTCTGCAACAGTCAAAAATCTCTCACTGAACCTTTCTTTGCATTTATAGAACCACATTTTAACTTTTCTTCTCTTCATTTTTGAAAAGATGTAAAATTTGTTTTGTTGTTGTTGCAGTTATTTAGGCAATTTTGTACTTCACTGAAGATCATGATGTATTTCCATATATCTCCTACTAAATAGTTTTCATGCTGGATTGTATAAGTTGCGCTACATTGAGTTACATGCCTCGTCATAAACTGGTCAACATTACATTGTTTTAAGTTTCTCAAGCTGTTAATCTTGGTTTATTATTTTATTTATTGTTGCTGCAGATGTATTTAAAGACTGCAATAGATTTCTGTGTCGGCGTATTTTCTGTTGTTACCAACATTTAACTTTGAAAACATTAACAAACAGTATACAATTTTTTTTTTTTTAGGTATTCATTCTTCTTTCCTTGTGGAAGTAATTGTTGCCGGTTTTTCCCTTTCCAATAAATAATGTTGCTTATTTTTCACTGAGAAATTTAATACCATTTTACAACGTTTTTGAATTATGGAATAGGATTATTTCTCTTCAGAAAGCACAGAAATGTATTCTTTAATCCACAACTTGTTTATAAGTGACATTATGAAAGAAGTTAGTAAATACTAAGTAGTTTTCATGTAGGCTTGTTGTTTTGCATTGAGTCACGTGCCTTGGCAAAAGCAGGCCAACATTGCATTTTGTAATTTATTCAAGTTGCAAATCTTGTTTATTATTTTATTTATTGTTGCTACAGATGTGTTTAAAGACTTTGCAGTTGATTTCTACGTTGGCATAATTTTCTCATGTTACCAATGATATTTAACTTTAGAAATAATGCATACCTTTTTTAGATACTTGTTTGTGGTCTTCTTTTCATGTGGAAGTAACAATTGACAGTTTTTCCCTTTCCATTTAATAATGTTGCTTATTTTGCATGTAGAAATTCTAATACCTGCATTTGTCAATGGTTTTGAATTATGGAATAGGATTATTTCTCTTCAGAAAGTGCAAAAATATATCCTTCGATCCATGGGTTGTTTACATATGACATTTTGAAAGAAGAATATATTAAAAAGTAACAAACTATATTTCTCATTTTGAATAGTAAGCTGTTGCTGGAAATTTTTATTCCAAAATATTGGCTTTCTTTTTTTTTAAATTCGATATGGAAATTGTATTAAAAATGTGTAAACACCCTCTATTTCCTAAGAAACTTCCATAGAGAGGTTTAATATTAAAATATGAAATGTGTTAAAATAGAGGTTATATAGGAATGAAAAAGGTTTTTTGGTTTATCTGTCTTAGTAAAAGTGCAAAATTATTCTGGATTTTACATTTGTAACACTCTTGAGTGTGAGAAATATTTTAATTGCTTAAATTATATTTTTAATTGTGTTATTAGTAATTCCAGAAATTTGTTCCATCTTGTGTGTGTATGCATGTATATATATTTTCATTTCACTTACAGAACCATGATTATTATTTTAAATAACTTTGCTTTATATCTTTAATAAGATGTATATTTTACAGAAAATGATAAACCAATGGATCATAAACCCGACCCTGTTCATGAAGTTTGTGATATATCTGTGAAAATAGCTGATTTAGGAAATGCCTGCTGGGTTGTATGTAAAATTTTGTGTTTTAATTTTATGTTTATCTGTTATTTTTTAAAATTTATATTTTTATATTTCTGTATAAAAATCTTTAAAATGTTTGATTAGATGTATATACACAGTACAAAATCGACCCAGAACCTTCAACAAATCTGAATATCAGAAATTTTTCAGATTTTAGTTTACTAATTCAAGTTTAGTAAGATGACGTAGAAATTATAAAATTAAAAATACGAAATGATGAAATATTTTTATGATCTTTAGAGAACAAAATTTACAAATAAATATTTCTCTCGCCAGAAGTTGTTTACTTTCTGTTTAATTTTACAGTGAGAAAAAATTTCTCTTTTAGTTACTGTGTTCAACTGCTTTATCAAGAATTCTCACTTTAAATATTTTAATTTTCAAAATCTCTTGTTCTTAGCAGTGATATTTTCTGGATTTAAAACCATTCTACAGATTTTGCCCTCCATTGTTTCATAATAGGAGCATTGACAAACCAATGAGAATTTCAGTTATATCATTTTCATTTAACATTTATTTTCATTCTTCACATATTTCGTTAAGTGCAAAAAAAATTGGGGGAAGGTTAAAATTTAGTCACTTTATTCTTTTTATTTATCCCATATTTCCTTGGAACTGGATATCAGAGTTTAGCTTCTTTCCTGATGTAACAACATTTTTCATCTAATCATAATTTCTTCACCCTTTCCCAATAAAATTAAAATATGCCTCCAATCTGAAATGTTGGTATTTTCTAGATTTAAAACTCTACTATAAATTTCATAATTCTATTAACTGATTGATATGCACTTGTCTGATCCTAGTGTTTTAGTGATCTCTTTCTGGGCACACCTGATGTTCGCTGTTCAATTTTAGGCAAGATTTTAAGATAAAAATTTTAAACTAATAATAAGGAGATTAGCATACAGCCAAGAAAATAACAGAGAAATTTCTTAACAAACAATACCTTTTATATCCTTTAAAAAAAAAATCTGAAAGATCTCTTTGAAAAATGTGGGTCTTTAAAAACTAAACATGGCTAAAATATATGGACTGGTTTGTGTTGTGCTGCCATTCATTATAAATAAAGAATGTTCAGAGTAACCCATAAATCCTTTTTTATTCAATTTTTTTTTTTTTTTTTTTTTTGTGTGTGTGTGTGTGTGTGTGTGTGTGTGTGTGTGTGTGTTCAGAGGGAAATTTTTAGGTGTGCCCGGACTGCAATGGGTTAAGCATGAATTCCTTTTATATTTTTTATGATAAAGAATATATATGTTGTTATCATATGTATGTTTTTGGGGCCAATCTGATTAATAATAATCGGTTCTTATTAATAATGAAATAAACTGTAAAGTGAATAATTTTATGAGAATTATAACATGAATGGGTTATAATTAATAATTGCCGATGATGAACTGTAAATGTAGTAATTTTTCAGTTGTAGTCTGAGATTGTCGTTTGCATGCATACATTTTTCCCATGTCAGCTCCTCACTATTGTGTAAACATGTAATACCTGTCAGTAGCATAGCCATATTCCAAGACATAGTCAATAAAAAAGCTCAGTTGAAATAGTAAACCAAGACACAGAAAAAATGTTACCCACATGGTTTGAAATAAATAATACAATGGAGTGGTTAAAAAGAATAAAATGCTTTCATTTTGTGAAAAATGGAGCTCATCACTTTGGAATAAATTGCTGTTCGTTTGAAGCTGTAACTAGGCAAAGCTGAAATAGGTTTAAGAACCTACTTGCCAATTCATACTTTGTCAGGAAATACAAATGAAGAAAATCTTGCTGTTTTTAAGAGATCAGTCTAATAATACTCAGTGTCAGACCATAATCCGAACTGAGGATGAGGATATAGATGCAGTGAGTGATGACAATATGAAAGTGGAACTTTGTTGATCAACTGGATTTTCTATTGCAGATGAAGGAGAAACGTTTTAATTTCAAATGCCACAGAAGCTGTTCCTTTCAAAATAAATTAATTTATTAAAAATGTAATAGTGGTTTTTTTTTTTTTTTTTTTACTTTAAGGTGTTTGTGTGCAGTGTTATTTTTTGATGTAATAAATTATGAATGTATTCTGTAAATCACACTAATCCTTATTATCAAACATTTTTTATAGTGACCAAATTTCATTGCTATTAAAACTGTTGATGTATGCAGTTTCATACCCTTCGTTTCACATAACATTAAAAATACATTATATATTGTGCTTAAATAATCACATTGACCAAACTTCATTGGTGTAGTTCGACCGCCTCATCCGCGACCATGAGCGCAAACACGCATGCGCCATTCAGACCAAATTATTCTCAAAACAGGATGGAAGGATAGGGACTTTCTTCCCCTTCAGCATAGCTCTTTCCGGAGAAGAAAAGAGCTTTCACGTCGCAGGGCGAGTCTATGTCTTTTGGCAGAATGCCAACCAGGGGTGCGTTTGAGACAGTTGAACTATAATTATTAATACATACCAGTAAATGTGATTTATTGTGCATTATCAATCACATCTCCAAAAGATGTGGTTATTATTTATTAATACTAAACAGATATTTTACTTTAACTGTAACATGCACACACGCATATATATATATATATAATATTTTATCAGGAATTTTTGATGTTTTGAAGAATTTTTAAGCACTTTTTACTTTTGGCATTTTAGCATCATCATTTCACTGAAGACATACAAACCCGGCAATATAGGTGCTTAGAAGTTCTTTTAGGTGCTGGATATGGTCCACCTGCTGACATATGGAGTACAGCTTGTATGGTAAATAGAGTTTTTTATGTAGATATGTAAAGTTACAATTAGTCTGTGATATTCTGAAACCCTTTTAAATGTCAGCATTTATTTAACGTATTCTAGTTTATAAATAATATATAACCCAAAAAAGCTTTGTAGACAATTATGCATGTTATATTCCAGGATATGATTAATAAAAAATCTGATAATTTTTTATGTAAATTAATATAATCTCCATTGTATTGCCTTGTTGTAATGGTCAGTTTAGTCATAATTTTAATTGAAATGGAATACTGGCCCATGGTAGCTACACTTCCATGGTTATTAACATCAAGATCAGAATTACTGATAGTAGGCTGTAGAAATTGCACATTAGCTTTGTCAGCATCTTTTTCACAGTAGCACTGTGATGGTATGATGTAGAAATTCTGTGGTGTGTAGTTTGTGATTATTCAGGCATATTTCTTTGAAAATGAGGTGAACATGGCCATTACAATGGATGCTCGATGGTATATTGTCCTTCTCAAAACATTTCTTCTGAAGCACTCAATTTCTAAGAAATTCTTGAGTTATTGGTATTGTTTAACAGAATATTCCTTCAGTAATATTTCCTTTGTTTGTAATAATTTTAAGTATAAATAATATACTAGAGAAATCATAAAATCTGATAAAAATATATCTTTTGGCTAGTGATTACATTTTGTCTTTCATCTGTGTACTCTGCCGTTATCCCCCATAGATTTAGAAATAGGTCATTAAATTATATCATTGTTTTCTCCCCTTATATCTTTGATAAATAAAAACACTTTTTAATTACTTTCAATTAAATGACCAAACTTGTGCTGTAGTCATTTCTTAGGAAGATCTTTGTTAATATAATCATTCAGCTATTAGTATTGAATTGAAGGTATAGAAACACATTAAGACTTCATCATTTATTATAATTGGCTAGTCATTTAATTATGAAGGTACTAAATAGGACAGTTTTTCGTTTAAATAACTTTTTTTTATTTAATTTTAAACATTTTCTTTTTTTAACCTTTCTTTAATTATAGAGAGGAATAAACAAGTTAATTGAATAGATGCAGTTGCATTAAAACTGTAATGTACAGTATTGGATGACTCTTAAGACTGAATAATGCCATCTTTTTTATTAGCAGCTTCGCAGCATAAAATAGCAGGTCTCTCTAAAGCATATCCAAGTTGTATTCAGTCTAGAAAATATTACTCTGTCCGTAATTTAAACTTGCAATCAAGAAATTATTATGACAGTACAAGGATATTATGCCTGTGAAACAGAATTATGAAATCTTCATAGCATGGAAAATACAGATGCAAGAGCAGATGAGCAAAGATGACAATTTTTGTGTGTGTGTGTGTGTGTGAACCACATCTGTTAAATGTATTTGGAATTGCTTCTCAGAAAAGATAGAGAAGAGTTAGACATGCCAATTTTTCAGATGAAGCAGAAAAAAATTTAGATACGGAAATGTAACATTCCCAACTGACGTGACCTGTGAAGAATATAAAACTTGGGTAATTGAAAGAAAATTCCAATAGTACAGTAAAAGTCCTTTAATACAAATTACTTAAGCGCATAGGTAAACATTACAGCATTTTGAAATAGAAACTTACGAGAGCGTTTTATCGCGTACCTCACAGCATCAAGTTCAGAGTAAGTGTAATCTGGCAATGCCTGTCTGCTTTCTCCTCTCCTCGAGACGCATCACCACCTGCTTTCCTATATCTTCATCCGAGGTGCGGCTTTCAAGAAATATAGTCCTGTGAGATCGCTACAGGCAGCCACCCACCGGCGATAGTAAGATTTTAGCTATGCCGGGAACTGAATCGTACACGTCGGCCTGAGCGAGTTACCATTGCCGGTGATTCACAGTTTGGTGCAGTAACATCTGTTGGCGGCGTAGGAATTTCCGATTTTGCTGGTGAATCCTCTGTTTGGGGGGGGGAAGTTCTGCGATTGTTTGCTGGCTCTGAGTCTTCAGCATCTTTTCTTGTGACATATGCTGGTTTAATCCTATCGATGCTTACTGTTTTAGCTTTTCCCTGTATCGAAATTGTAACAACTTTGTCGCCTCGACTGAGCACTTCATAAGGCTGCTGAAGGCTTCTTTTCACTACATCCATTCGAAGAAAAACATGACTGCAGGTGGTTAAGTCTTTGCTGACGAATACCGCTTGCTCGCCGTGAGGTTGATTTGTAGGAGGTAGGAGGCGTTGCATAGATTCGTGAAGCTTTCCGACAAAAGTCACTGGGTCTGGGGTTTCTGGAGTAGGGCACAGGAATTCTCCTGGTAGGCAAATTGAAGTTCCGTACACCATTTTTGCTGTGGTTGCTTGTAGATCATCCTTCCAAGTGGCTCTGAATCCTAATAAAATTGTAGGCAATACAGCAGTCCACTGATTATTGCTGTGTGCCATGATTGCAGATTTCAGCGCCTGGAATCTTTCAACTTGGCCATTTGCAGACGGATGGTATGGAGTTGTGCGGTGTCGAGCTGTGCCCAGGAACTTGGTTAGTGCATCGAAGAGTGATGATTCAAACTGCCTTCCCTGATCGGTAGTTAGCCGTAGTTGGGATCCAAATATGGAGATCCAACCTGCGTAGAAGGCAGCTGCAACAGTCTGTGCGGATATATCTGCTAACAGAAATGCCTCTGGCCATTTAGAAAAACGATTGACACATGCGAGACAGTATCGAAAGCCTTCGGATGGAGGGAGAGGTCCTACGAGATCAATGTGCACGTTCACTAGGTGGCACAAAAACACCAATTTTACTTTTGGTATGGCGTGTCACTTAAGATTTCTGACACTGTAAGCACTCAGCCCAAGATGCGACATCCGCTTTCATTGAAGGCCAAACAAATCTTTAGTCAATCAGCTTTACTGAGGCTTTTACTCCTGGGTATGAGAGAGAGTGAAGGCTGCTAAACACTGCTCGACGAAATGAATGTGGAACGAAAGGGCGAATGCGACCAGTGGAGATATCAAAATGCAGAATAACTGGAGGCTGACCAACAGGGAGGAGCTTCAGCACTAAGGAGGTAGTCAAACTTCCTGATAAAATATTTCACAGTTCAGCATAATTTTCTTGCTCCTTGGCAAGCTGGTAGTAGTTGATAGCAGATGGTGTCTAACTGTAGTTATATGAATTCAAGACAGCATATCCACTACCACATAACCAGAACCTTTTAAGTAGCAAATATCAGTCATAAATTGGCTGATAAAGTCAGTTGTCTAAGTTCTTGTGGAGAGCATTTATCTTCTTTTTGCCGAAATGCAAATGTAAGTGGTTTGTGGTCTGTGAATAAAATCGAAGTTCAGACCTTCGACCATATGTCAAAAGTGCCTTATTGCCATATACGACGCAAGGAGCTTTCTGTATGCACTGTATCTCTGTTGAGTTGGAGATTTTTTTTTTTTTTTTTGAGTAAAAAGCAAGACGTTGCCATCTTTTTTCAACTTGTTGGTGAAGAGCTGCACTCATAGCTATGTCAGAAGCATCAACTACAATTGTGAGTGGGGTCTCTGACGAAAGATGGTACAAGATCACTGTGTCTGACAGATCTTTCTTACATTTCTCAAATGCATTTGTGGTTACTTCAGTCCATGCGATTAGTCTTTTGTCGTTTTTCATTGCTCCCTTTAGGTATGTATCGCTTGAGTTTTTGGAGCTTGCGGAATAAAACATCGGCAAAAGTTGCCCATAGCCAGAAAATGCCCAAGTTCTTTCACAGTTTCTGGTTTTGGGAAATTCAAAATTACTGAAACTTTTTCTAGTAAAGGAGTGATACTCTCGGGAGTTACCATATGTCCTAGAAATTTCACAGTTGATTTACCCAAGGCACATTTAGCTGCATTTAGTACTATACCATAATCTGTGAATTGCTGGAACACTATCTTATGATGTTGCATGTGCTAGGTGTCATTTTCAGATGCTACCAAAACATCATCAAAGTATGGTACACAAAAGTCCAGTCCATTGAGAACATGATGAATAAACCTCTGGAATGTAGCCACAGCATTCGATAACCCGAATGGCATGAATAAATATTCGAAGAGAATGAATGGTGTAGAAACAGCTGCTTTTGGCACATCTTGAATTTGATGGTAAGCTCTTTCCAAATCCAGAATTGAAAACATCCACTTCCCATCTAAGACTTGAAGACAATCCTGTATGTGAGGAATGTAGTGTCCTGTAATGTCCTGCAGTGTCTGGAATGGTGGCACTATTTAATTTCCTATAATCCCCACAATGTTGCCAATATAAATTGCTTTTGGTCACCATGAGCAGAGGGGATGCCCAGCAGCTTTTGGAGGGTCTACAGATTTCGGTGTTTGGCTGCTTTAAGCTTATCGGCTGAAAGCCTACGTGGCCATGAAAACACAGGTGGTCCTCTAGTCTCAATACAGTTAGTAATGTCGTGCTGAATTTTTCGTGCTGTTGAGCTAGCTTAGGTAAGTGCAGGAAACTTGGCAAGCATTTTGTGAAATTTAGTATCTCCTTTGATTGCCTTGATGTGAGTTATATCTTTTGTAGTCACAGTTCCTTTGGAACATAGTTGGGTAAGTGGATCCACCACATCCTTGACGAATATCACCCAGTAATCCAAAGTGACGAAGAAAGTCAGCTCCAATAATAGGTTGAGAGGTCAGGCAGATGATAGGGTCAATGAAATTCCCTACATAAATAAGTCTAATTTTAAGTTTTGTCCAAAGTAGGTATTGTATCCCATTTGCAGCAAAAAGTTGACACTTGGCGGTGGCTGATTGCGCTTGTAATTGGGCGGAACTACTGAGAATCTGCTCCCATATGAATCAGATATTTTGATGCTGTGGATTTATCTGAAAATTAAACGATAAATCTGGTTTCTTCCGTCACCGAAGAGTCGAGTGACGGCAGCACTAATTTTCCGCCTGGAAGGTGCAGGGTTTTGTGCACTTGGTAGGTTTTTCTTTGAAACGCTGATGGTACCAGCAGTGCTCTCTATTACCTTGTCGTTGGCAGCTTGATGAACGGCCTCTTTTATTCTGCTGCTGCTGCTCTCGTTGGGTTGAACGCGGTCTGGAACGTGTTTCCATCCGAGAAAGGCGAGATGAAATATCCATTACTAATTCTTTTAGCGCAGAGTCGTCCGTTTTTACTTCAAACACTGAAGCACTGTTTCTGGTGGCTGCCATGATACAATCGGCCATCTCAGCTAACTTGTCACTGGAAATGGCTAGAATCTGTTGTGCATGCGTCGGCAGACGTTGCAAGAAAAACGATTTAAGAAGATCCTCACTCATTCATGAGCCAGCCTTACTTTGCATCTCCAGTAAGAGGCATGACGGTTTTTTGTCGCCAAGCTGCGTTCTGGAAATGAGGTCTCGGAGCCGCTGTTCCTCTGTATCTGCATATTGCATACACAGACGGGTTTTATCGCCGTATATGGAGCCTCGGCTGGAGGGTTAAGAATAATATCTCCAACAACCGCTAACTCCTCAGGTTGTAAAGCGGAAACTGCGTGGTGAAATTTCGTGCACTCCACCGTTACACCGGCCAGCATGAACTGGCTTTCCATCTGCCGGAACCAGATTTCTGGATTTGCTCGCCAGAAGGGAGGAGCTTTCACCGCTACATGTGCTATATTTCCAGTGGCTTGATCTCTGCTGTTATTTTCCATTTCATCAAATAAATCGAATATTTCAGAAGAGAAACTGACTAGTTGTAAGTTCCGATGAGGTAAAGTTCATTCAAGCCTCGTGCTTCGTCGATGGAAGAAGATTCCCCATTTTCAGTCCATGTGCGTGCTGCGACACCGGGTCATCAATTTAGGGGGGTTTCTTGTACTAAATATATCAGAAGGCTTAATAAAACTTTATAAAATAAGAAGCAACTTTTTCATATCCAAGCTAGAATTTATTTAATACAAATTACTTTAAGCGCATAGGTAAACATTATAGCATTTTTAAATCGAAACTTACGATAGCGTTTTATCGCGTACCTCACAGCATCAAGTTCAGGAGTAAGTGTAATCTGGCGACGCCTGTCTGCTTTCTCCTCTCCTCGAGACGCATCACCACCTGCTCTCCTATGTCTTCATCCGAGGTGCGCCTTTCAAGAAATATAGTCCTGTGAGATCGCTACAAACAGCATTAAGTATTTGGAGTGAAATGACAAGTTTTGGACTCGAGTATTTATTTACTGATGCAAATAGAGTTACATTAAGGGATAAAATCTGTTTTCCTGTTTTGGAAGTAGCCTGATTTCAGGGTTATGCGATGACTATTTGTGGTATGAGATCTTATTAATTTTAAGTTATACCTCAGTAAGAAATAATTAATTAGAGGTAGAGAAAGATTAAAATTAAGTTTCATATTTTTTTCCTCTTTTTTCTAATAAAGGTTTTCTTTTATTTGTTAAAAATATTTTGGTACTTAATATTATGATGACTACCTAGATATCTCACCAAAACTGGCGATCCTTGTAGGTTAAACAGGTTAACCTTAGCATAGGTTATAGAGGGCACTAAAATAAAGAGTATTATCCCGCACTTGCTATTACCACACTTTTTTTTTTTTTTTTTTTTTTTTGCTACATTTACACAAATTATTAGGTTTAGTTTAAAACACGTGAAACTTTTTGTGATTATTTTTCTCCCAATGGATATCAACATTTTCCAACTTCCTTCAAATGAAGAAGCGGTAGAGTTTTTCAGAGAGGCTAAAATTTTATCCAAAGAACGCGTTTGTAAAAATGACCATGATATGAAGTTTTAATTCAGGATTTTATTGGCGATGCAATGTCAAAAATTGTCAACAAAAGTTTGGTGTCCGAACTGGTATATGGTTTGAAGACAGTCGTCCATTAAATGGTGCAAACATCAGCAGGATTTATCCGATAAGACTGTAATTGAATTGAATAATTATATGCTTGAAGTGTGTGTGAAGGATTTAGAGGATACATTTTCTCTCTTTATAATTAGGTTTTTTATTTTTAAAAGAATTTATAAACATAAACCAAAAAACTCCAATGAAGATTGTTATCGGCAAGTGTTGCCAAGGTAGCCAACATAGTACGTCAGTACTAATATTTTAATTTCATATTATGCATAATTAATATAATTATATATTATTAATATAGGCTTTTGAATTGGCTACTGGTGATTATCTGTTTGAGCCTCATTCAGGTGAAGATTATTCAAGGGATGAAGATCACTTAGCACATATTATTGAACTTCTAGGCGACATACCAAAGCATATTGCATTTTCAGGAAAATATTCACGAGAATTTTTCAATAAAAAAGGTAATTCTTTATTGTCTTCTCTTTGAAGATTTTATTGTCCAAAAGTGGTTAAAACATTTAAAGTTCCTGTAAGTAACAAATGGGTCTTCAAAATTCATAAATTCATTTTATGTTATTAAATTTTTATTAATCTGCAATTATGTTTTGTAAAAACCTGTTGTTTAATCTGTAGAGTGTGCTAAGTTAAAAATTCATACAAGGAAATAATTATATTTGTTGCAGCAATGAATCTTTGCAACTGAATACAGAGATACAAGTTTAACTAGTTCAAAATGTACATTAATATCTCTTTAATGCATGTAATTAAACTATGTAAAAAATTTATTGATCTGTGTGTAAGAATGCTCTTTCCAAGATAAAGTAGAATTCCTTTAATCCACTCATTGTGTGATGAAGGGTTGTGCATGTTAGTGAATTTCTTAGATTTGTAGACTCTGCTGAAGTAAAAATTCAACAAACAGACTTAATTCGAACTCTGGCATAATCCTAGGTCATGCTGTCCTACATCAATAAGAAAACTGATTTTTTGCTGTGTAATGCCATTTTCTTCTCTAGCATTCCAAAAATCTATAAATAATCTTGCTAATAGAACACCATTGCCACCATAGCAAAAGGATAATCAGCACCTGTTTGTTACATATTTGTAATGAACTGACTTGTTAAAATGTCCTGATACGTTTAATCATGTAGTATATTTGCTTGTAAACTGATATTTGTAATGCTATTATTGTTGAATAATTTGTTTTGTTTAATAATATATTTTAAACTCATCTTTTATTTAGGTGAGCTACGACACATAACTAAGTTGAAGCCTTGGGGACTGTATGATGTACTAACAGAAAAATATGAATGGGATCCTGTTGATGCTCAGGCATTTACAGACTTTTTAATTCCTATGCTAGCCTTTGATCCGAATGAACGTGCTAAAGCTTCTGACTGCTTAAAACATCCTTGGTTGGCTTCATGACTTCCAGAAAAATTTAGCTCCTTTTACCTCTAAATTCAAAGAACTAATGAAAGTCATGCATTTCTTCTGGCATTAAATCAACTTAATCATTTGTACATGTTATTTGTCATAGATTTTTCATTTTGAATAATAATAAAATTTAGATCTAAACAATTATGAAACAGATGTGTTTTGCATTATCTATATAGGACAGATAATGGTCAATTTTAACATTATGAGTAAAAATGAAGCAATTGCTAATCAAGTAGCTTTCATAGTTGTTAGCTACAGGGATCATACATGATGTACGATGGTTAACAGTTTTGATTGAATTTTTTAATGTGTCTCATTTGTGCGACAAGTTTCATTTATATTTTCATTTGTTTTTGTGCCTTCATTTTTATCTTCATAATTTATTTAGGGAGGAATTATAAGTAAAGTTTTGATTCCGGTACTGCAGCTGAATTTGACTTAAAATAAAAAAAGTTTTTATATCTTACATTAGTGGATTTTTTTAATAAATGTTTGTTATTTAAAATATCTAAATGCTAATTAATTGCTTCCATAACTGAATACTTTCGTGAGGTATTCTGCTTAAAAGTGGTTTTTATTTTTGCTTAAGTTGAAATGTTCTCATAAAATAATATTGGTGGTGACAGGTTTGAAAAAATTCTGCAAATTAATGTTTAGGGAGGATAAACTTTTATTATTATATGTCATGAAATGCAAGTCTTATCCTTTTATGTCAGAATTCTTTCGGATATCTAAGTGATATATTTATTTGAAAGTGTATCAGTAGTCTGAATCAAAGTAATACTGATTTTAAAACTTCAGTGTGCCTCTAATTATCAAGTTAATATGACGTAAGTTTGAATTTTCCAATATGTTTATTATAAACTTTATTTAAAAAATAAATATTTTTTGTGATTTCATAAATTTTTCATGTCAGACTAGTTTTGACTTATTATGCTAGCTTAAAAGTTGTACTGTGACATTTCATTGAATTCTGTGTAAAAGAAGTTTTCAATAAATTTTTCTGTTTTTGTATCTTATTTGGTTTACGTAAGTACGGTGATGTGTAAGTATGTAAATGTTTTTCAGTTGATTATGAGATTTTCATCTTCCCTATGCCTTCAAATTGTCAAAAATTCAGAATCTCATCAGTGACTGAGGTCTGTTTATAAAAGAATGCCAAGCATTTTGTATAGTATGTAATTGTGTTTTTGGTATGTAAAAAATATAGTATAAAAGAAATTTCAAGCATAATTTAATTTGGGTTTACTTTCAGATTTTTACTATCATCTTAGTTTTGTTCAAAATCATAGGCTTTTTTTTAAATTCAAAACATTCTAACTATATTTTCTTATAAAGAAATGTAGTTATTAGTAAGTGCAAAAGAAGAATTCATTAGGGAAACTTTATCAGTATGTTGTATGACGACATTTTCCCTTACATGCTTCATATTGTAATATATGAATGATATAGTTCTAGTATAGTTATGTGAAAAAGAAAGTTCTGGAAGAGGTGATATACAGGAATTTTTGTGTCTTCTGTAATTAATATTTTAGTTAATTGTATGTGTTAAATTTAATGACTGTTGATTCATTTAAAACAAAATGTTGCAACTGTTAAAAATTGTTGCTGAATTGAGGTTAAAAGTATAAATGCTAATGCATATTTGTATGCATGTGTACTGTGTGGTATTTTAGTCATAGACTTCAAAGCACCATCATTATTCATTGCAATATCAGTTAATATTATTTTGTATGTATATTTATATGTAAATTAATTTTACTGCAGCAGTCCTTTAAGGTATGCACATTTGTTTAAAAGAAAAATTTGTTATCCTTTGTAGCTTAGAAATTTCTAGTAATAAACAGCTGTGGCTCAAAATTATTTTTGTGTGTGTCATGAACCATTTAATGATAATTTGTATTTTATATAATAAAGTTAAATATGTGTGTATAGAGAGAGGGGGGAGGGAGGTTTGTGTGGGTGTATTCATAGAATTCAGGTCTTAAAAAAGTTTTTAAGATGCGAAAGTTTACACTTTTTTTTAACTTTTGTAAAACTTCCCGATTTTAAATCTAAAAAATAGTTACTATTTTTAATTCATCGTGTGACACATTGTGTTTATTGATGCCCAATAGAAATGCTCTTTTTTTTTTTTTTTTTTTTTTTTTTTTTTTTTTAAGGGGGAATGGTCCTGCAAATTTAGTGCTGATTCTGTATTTTCACTGAAACTGTATCCTATATATTGTCAATATGCGGTGGCCTTGATGGCCATACTTTTCAGTTTTTAAAGAGAATTTAGAATTTCATATATAATATTTGTCTGTGTTAATTCTTGAAAGTAATCCTGTTAGGTATTTTCTCCCTCCTTCCATCATGAAACAGTAGTACACTCAGCACATATTCAAGAGATCTAGGAAAGAGTCCTGTGAAGGCAGCGCTCATTTTTCATGTGTCCTGCTGTAAAATAACCAAATGAAATTAGTATTTGAACAGGAATCTGTCCATTTCTTTGCTTCATTGAAAAAAGATTCTAGAAAAATAACAAATTCAAATGATTGCTGAAGTATATTATAAAATGAACCTTAGATTTCAAGACTTTTAATTAAATTCTTCATTTACTAAATTTCACTTATGTCATAACATACATGTATTTTATTTATTTATTTATTTAGTTTAGTTTTCAGTTTTTTTAGTCCAAAAGGGCTTTGTCCCTGAGGGACTATTATTTTCGTTCTGAGATTTTGCATTGAATCACTCTGAATGTCTGTTTCACATTTTAAACTGTTGCCACCAAATATTATCGCCCTGTATTATATTTGAAGAAATTAAATAATGAAGAATCTGCATAAATTTATGTGTCTCACATTGTGATAAAACAACGGAGAGAGCCATCAAATTTTGAATGATGTAATCGTACTGCGAATATCGGCATCTGGAAGCCCAAATTTGGAATTTGTTTTATTATTGATTTCATATTTTGTAAAACTTTAAACGAATTTTTGATTAACAAACTCAATGATTTCAAAGCGAGCCATGATAGCGTTGTGCAGAAAAAACATTTTTACCTCCAGCATGTGAGACTATAAATCGGAAATTCTAAAGATATGCTAAATTTAAAATTATTTTGCAATATTGCTCTTGAACTGAATTTTATGGTTTAAGTGGTATTTAATAAATAAAGGTAACACACAAAATGTTACAAAAATGCCCTTTTGGACGTAATTTAAAATTTTCTTTTATTATTATTATTATTATTATTTTAAGAACTCAAGAGAGATTTGAGAATGTGATAGGATTCATCCTAGCTCTATGCATGAATAATGTGTCGGGTGACCAAGCTTTATTAGAGATAATTCCATATTTTGCACTCATTATGTTCATATTGTAATAATTTGATTATTAGGAGAAAGAGAAAATGTATGCTGTTGTAATCATAATCCGCTAGCTGAATACATGATTTTATATTTTCTCGTATCTAAAAAATTTGCAGCAGCTTATTCTTGCCATGTCTTCCTTGCTCATTGAATTATTTAAATGATAAATTCTAATACTAAATAATCATGATTAATACCTTTAAATAGGAAATTAAAATTTAATTATTGATTAGTTTTGTTTGTTTTGGCTTAAAAGTAAACTCACAAAACTATATTTGATATAGATATCATATATTTGTATCAAATATAGTCATATATAAGATATGACTGTCTTTTGTGCCTGTTTCGTACTTTAACTAAGGTATAAAAAACTCATTTAACTATTTTTGAAGGAAAATCCTAAGAAACATTTTTGGTGCTGTAAACATTGATGACTTGTTGTGACAAATATAAAAATAAATGTTATAAATATATTAAAAAGTAGTATAATTGAATACATTAAAATTTAACACATGAAATTTGCTGAATGAACTGTTTTTTAACCATAAACCAGTAAGAGAATGAGTCAAAAAAAGGCTCAAGGTTAAACAGGTTGACTGTATTAATACTAACTTTAAGTAGTATTTAAATTACCAATTGGAATACCTTGGCCAAACATAAAATGGAATGAAAAAGTATTATAAAAAAGGCTGTGTTCATCTTCCTTCCCAATAGAAGAAGACATCATGATTATAGTGACCTTGATAAAGAATTCCTGATTGAAGGAAAAAGATTTCAAAATTTTTATTTTTGTTGAAAGAAGTATACAAGATGTAAGAGAGACATTAAAGAAATTCCTTAGAACACTGGATTTTTTTCTAAAATTAATAAAACTAGTTTCCAAATATTTTAATGCAGCCACAATTTTTTATAGCTGTTAAGATTAATAATTGGAAGAGAAGTTTCTTGAGTAAAATTTTATTAAGAATTTATAGATGAGACCTTGGATGTTACCATGCTGTTTACAAAACAGAAAATGAGTTAGTCATTGAGAATATCATCGAAGATTTTGCCAACAGTCAAGCAAAAAAATCACATATTAGAATTAAAGCTTACTTTCAAGAATAAACATAATGTTTTGATTTATATTCTTATTTGTTTTTTTATATTTTGTAGCAGTTTTGATAACTGCTCAGAAGGTGGTGCTGAATTATATTTTTATCCTGCATGGTTTTTACTAGAAACGTAATCTGCTAATATGTTTAGAGCAGAATAAACATTTTAAAGGACACCTGCCCATTAATTTGCATGGTATTTTATCATACTTTTCATTATGAAATTTAATGAAAAGGATCAAATTTTGATTTGGAAACTCGCTTTTCAAGATTCATGACTAAAATCATGAACTTTTCTTGGTCCACAGAACAGTATTTTTTGTGTATACCATATGAAGTTATATATAAATGTTATTAATTCAAACTATTAATATCTGGTTTTAACGAAAGTTTTCTGCCAAAAAATGTTCTTAATAAAGTTAGGGGGAAAAACATGAAATCAGTACATTTAGTGCAGTCGCTACCCAAATCTATGATTTTCTGCCAACATTTTGGTAGTTTTTCAAAGCCTTCAGCCCAGGCCGCGAGTCCAAAAACAAATCAACCTCATTTCGGATGTCATCTGCAGAATGAGAGATAGCACCAGCAAAATGTATCTGCAGGTGTGAAAAAAGGTAGAAGTCCGAAGGAGCGATGTCAGGGCTATATTCTGGTTGTCGCAAAAGATCCCATTCCAGTGCCGTACTGCCGATATGCACTCTGCTAAACTTGCGATTTTTTTCTGCGGAGGAAATCTTGAATCTTGTCGAAAATTATTTGTACATGCATTGTCTGCGTTTCTTCTGCTTTGGAACTTCACCGCAAGCTGGAAGAGGTTTTCTAATGTTTGCAGATTCCAGACTTCAAGAAAGTCTTGAGCTGACGGTAGTAGGCGCGGTAAAATCACCTCAATAAGTTTGCTATCAGGCCTCTTCCCGTATAATAGACTAAAACTTGAATTTTTCTTAAGATGAATTCCGTTAAATCATCAAAACTCATTTGATATTTGCTAAACAGTTCTGCTTCTAGCTTTGCATGGTCCTTCATGACTGGAAATGCTTTTAACAATGCTGTCTTGAAATATTCCCTTCTGTACGTCTCCAAACTTGGGTTCTCTAACAAAAATTTACCAATTCCTTTGTACCAGCTCAGAGCTTAACCTTTTAAATTCCTCGTCGCTATCGTAATTTTCTGTAGCTGGTTTACCGAATAGAGAGTGAAATGCAGGTCCAGCTGGCTCGAGGAATGTCTTTACTGAGCCTTATCCATCGAAAGTTGCTGTTGGTTTCATTGCAGCTCTCATAGTTTCTACGATACGTCTGAATCCTTCCATCGGATTTGTTGACATCTGAAGGACTTAAAAGGTCAGAGGGGTCAATGAAAATTTTTCGGGCGCAAATGTAGGGTTCCAAACCGGGGATGTAACTGCAATGCGTCTGGAACGTTGAGAACTGCTAGGCGAATAATCGCTTTACTTCAGTAGGCAGAGAAAAGAAGTCGAGAAGCGTTAAATACCCTTTATTATTCCAAATAAAGTTTAACAGATGACTTCTTTCTTGGAGTTTACAAAGCCTCCACTCGGTCTTGAACTCAGGAAACTAAGAAATAAAACTTAATTAATCTTAACTAAAAGAATATAGCCGAAGTTATCAAAATTGTAACAGAGTTGGCCCCTTAACGCTGACAAACGACGAAACTATTAAAGGTCTAAAGTACCACCGAGTGTAATAATAGCTTGGGAGATAGTATCGCCAAAAGGCTAACGCACGCTGATCAGAATCTCTAGCTCTGAAAAAATCAGTAGAACCTCACAGTTAAATACTTCTCCTCATTTGCATTCAACCGCGATTCTGAAAATACGTTCTGCCTCGAATTTGTAAGCTGAAATTAAGGGAAGTAACTTTTAACTAAAAATTAACTGTTAGAAAAATTAAGATAAACCTTACAATCTCATACGATTAGAAAATTTCACATGCTTATATTCAATATTTTTAACAGTTTCGAGTATTACGGACATGTCTATGCATCAACATCACAGTGTGACATCATAACAATGTCGCAATGTGACTTCCATGTTACACTACGACGTCGCATAAATGCCACAGCATGACTCACATGAACATCACCATGGACCTTATAAGAGATAGACTAACCCAGTGGGTGGAGCGCATGTCACCGACATGTCCGCAAGAAAGAGTAGGGACGATCTGGTTTACTTAAACCTATGGCGTATCACATAACTGTTTTTAATTATTAAATGTGATACGTTATATAATGAGATTATGAAAGTCACAGTTTTTTTTCAAATAGGATTTAATATATCTGATTAAAGCATTTTTTTCACGTGTAATTCTTGTACAAATATCTTTACTTTGGTACAACGGTAAAAACTCTGAGCTCAAAATTTATGAACTTAATTTTGTGTAAAAATAAAGTAAAAGTAAATAAGATTGATTGTACATGATGCTTTGAAATAAATAAGGTAAAATTAAACCAAGATCTGATCATTTTTTAATAAATTTAATGAACATTTTCAGACAGTGATTTTCAAAATTGTAATAACATTACAAAACGATCATATGTTTGATTATATCATCATTAACATTAAAGTGGATTATTTATTTTAGTAATTTATAAAATTCGGAGCATAAAATTTTTCTGAGTGTAATGAAGGGAGGGAAATAAAGATAAAATGTAGAAGCACTCAGATTTTATATATTATGTCCAAAAGGAACCTTTTTTTGTAACATTTTGTGTGTTACCTATATTTATTGAATATCATGTTCTTCGCCCGTAAACCACATACATTTGAAAACAGCATATCTTTAGATTTTCCACACTGGAGATAAAAATGTTATTTTCTGTACTGTGTTACCAATGCTCGCTTTGAACTCGTTGAGTTTGTCAATCAAAAATTCGTTAAAAGTTTTACAAAATCTGAAAAAGATTAAAACAAATTCGAAATTTGGCCGTCCAGATGCCCATGTTCTGGTGGAGGATTGCATTATTCAAAATTTGATGGCTTTAGATACCATCGTTTTTGTCACAGTGTGAGAAACATACATGTATTCATGCACATTCTTCATTATTTAAATTCTTTAAATATAATACAGGGCGATAATATTTGGTAACAATAATTTGCAAGGAGATACGGACATTTATGGTGAAACAGCGCAAAATGCCACTTCGAGCTAATAAATTAAATTAACAGTAAATTTTAAAAATCTTAAGCAGAACTAAAAATAAATTTAAAAAATAATCACTAGAAAATACAAGCAAAATTAATTATTATGGTTAAATGCAATTTTAATATTAGAATTAAATGTATAAAAATTAAGGGGTCAAAAGTGTTTATCACTATGATGTATTATGAAATATAGTTGAAATAAAATTCCTTTATAGAAATTGTGCTATAATACTCATCTATAATTTTAAAAAAAGCAGCACAATTTAGAATTTTAAACAAAACTTTCAAAAATTCGTTTTTGAATATTTTTAATATTAATTTACACCAATAAAAAGCATAAAAATTGCAAGAGAAAATTGCTTGTTTGAAATTTTCTATTAGTTCACATTTAAAATATTATTTTCTACAAGTAGTTACAAATTTCCTTACAGCATAGGAAAAGCTAAAAAAATATCCAGCCCTGAAAGCGTGCAATGGCTTTATAATTATTTGGAACTCTAATTATGCTTGATGATATGCTAAATTTTTAAAAAATCAATCTCAGTTTCAAAAATAAAAATATGGAGAAATTCTAATTTGTGAAATGAGGCGCTACAACCGGCTTTCTCTTGACAATTATACACGCTGCAATAGGCAACCCTAAGGCTTAGGCAATCACTGTTAAATTTCTGTAAGTCGTCCCTACTCCTCCGGATGTGATCAAGGTGACAGCTGGGAACGCGTCAGACGAGGAAAAAAACCCATTTGGGTTGGTCTATTTCTTATAAGGTTCATGAACATCACAGTGTGAGGTCACAAAAAATGGACATAAGGCCATGCCTACAATTCACTGTGATATTGAGACCGTCATAGTGTGACACGTTTTCAATGTGGCAGCAACGTCACCGTGCCATTAGGGTCAAGAGTTTGAAAAAAAAAAAACCTTCAAACCATACCTCAGCTGTGACCAGACTTTTGGAAAAGAAAATGAAAATTTTGGTAAAAGTTTAAAACTGAAAAACAAAATCTATGTCCATTCCCTGCCCCAGTAAAAATTAAACACTTGAAAAGGCTCAAAGATACCATAAACCAGTAACCATGCACTCAGGATATCCCTTGGAAATATATTGTGTTTATTAAAAATATGAATTTTTGCTTGAAATGAAACTACTTCGCAGAAAAAATATAAGTGTGCAATCATTATAACGTTTTTTAAGCTGGGGAAAAGTCTTAGCAAGACAAATAGCTAACACGGACCATACTTCCCAGCGTAGGAAAATTCTGTGAGTGCATTCTATACACTCGCTCGACCATCGCTATCTCGATTTTTAGAACGCATTTGACCATATATGGCATGCTGGCCATACATATAAACTGAATACGATATCCAGTTGCAATCAATTGTGTTCAAACCGCCTCATATTACGTCAAAACAGAACTTTTCAAGTACGAATAGGAAATATACTTTTGAATAATAAGTAAATTCAAGGAAATTACGCAAGGATCCGTAGTAGAACTTATCCACTTTTAATATCTACGTAAATGACCTGCTTGAGCTTCTCAGTTCAAAAATAGCTAAATCTGCAGATGACACGGCTATTCATAAATCCGCAAAGAGCACTTGACAGTTTCTAAACTGCCGTGAGTATACATTCGCATGCAGTTTCAAGAGAATTTATACATTATGTCGGAATTTTGAAAAACTAATGCACAGATCTAATATGGGGTATGGTCTCTCACAGACAGGGCACGTAACGTGACGATATACTAAACAGAAGGTAACTAAAAAGTCTCTGTGGCAGTCGGTCCCACTCCTGCAATAAAGCAGTTTTCAACTCCGGGAGGATTCTCGGAAAGGGATGGCGAGATGAAATTGCCATCCCAAGAACGTCGCTAACGTTCTCTAAAACTAAGCAGTGGTTCCCAACTTTTTTTTTTTTTTTTTTTTATCTGCACATCTTTTTCACAATTGCTCGAAGATCATCCCCACTCTCTTTCCAGAACTCGAAAAATACATATACATTTAGAACAGGCTGTCAAAAAATTTCCATTTGAGACGTTCCTGCAGTACATATACTAATTAGCTTGTTGCCGATGAAATTCTATAAACACCGTCATCTTGGCATGAAATGACTTTGCCATTCCTCTACTTCCGAAGATTGTATGGAAAATTTTCGAACGTTATTAATGGAGACGTTATTACCAAATGCCTCCAAACAAGCCAACGTGCCGTTATTATTATTTTTTTGGCTGCCGAAGGACAAAAATCGGTAGACATTCGTCGGAGAAGGAAGAATGTGCATGGAAAAGCATGCCTATCGAAAACCGTCGTTATGCAACGGGGCTGTATCAACACCGACTCTCCTACACAGCCCCATTCCACTAGTAGAGTCGGTGTTGACTGTGTTCTATGTTCAGTGTTGGTCGAGATTCAACTGAAGATGTAAGTCGTTCTGGGAGACTCTGCATATCCAGGATACGAAAAAATGAAAATCTGAACGAGCTGGTGAGAAAATAGGGTATAATCCGTAGTCCTGTTCTTCATATGTTAGAGAGCTGCAAGGGGGTTTATTTTAAAAACACACTTATATGGGTAGCGAAATCAAGAAGGATTAGTTTGGTTTATTTGATTATGGAAAAGCCCTCGAAGGCTACCTGCCTAACGAGAGAGATGGTTTATTGTAGGACTTTCTAAGGAAAATTGTCTCATATGTATGTTAAACATAAAGAAAACCATGAAAACGCTCATGCATGCAGCCGTTTCGCCGGGATTCGAACTTCAGACCGAACCACCATAATTCAACAATTTTACAGTCGGCTGCTGGTGGGGGGACTCCAAGAAGGAATAACGTGATATGGAAAGAATGAGCGCGTAAGGTAAATAGGATCTTAAAAGGTGACGGGAAAGTACCTTATTGTAATAAAATAAAAAGTTCAGACAGTTACGTAAGTGACATGGCATTTACAAGAATGGCATAAATCCCTTGACCATTTCTGGAGAGCAAGTATAGTTGTAGTTATGTATTGGAATACTGCTACTTTTATTTTTCCTGAGCTTTAAATGAAAATTGTAAGCCATAAAATGATAGTAGCCACTTAGCTAGGTAATACCAGCTATTTCCACAAAAGCTTCATGTTTCATGTTTAAGGTTTTTTGCACTTTGTGTCTTATCTTGATTTTTTTCCACCAGGCTGAAAATCCATATCCGTATGAGTAACAAGAAAGTTGTGCTTTTTATTTACAAGATTACAATTTGTGAATGTTAATTTTTATTTGTTGTAGATTGTTATTATCTTATTCAACTGTATGCGGTTTCGCATAGCTGTGTTCGATATTTATATAATTCAAATGACGGTAGAAAACATTCGATTTTCATGCAAGATTTGAGTTTTTTTTCAGATGTCTTCATATTAATTTTATTTAATTCGTTTCTAACTCTTTTGATGCATCGTTTCAGAGTACTAAATATAAGCATTTTTAATGCATTTAACTTTACTGAGAGTAGTTTCTCCCTTGTTACAAAAGTGGCTTTCCTGTGTTTTTGGAATTAAATATATTTTTCAAGATTTTGTTCGAAACGCATGATCAAATTTGTTTGGAAGGAATATGACAGTGACAAACGCTACTTCGCTGCTGCTTTTATTCCAGTCAAAAGTAAGAAACTGACTTTTTAACCGCTTAATGCGTCGTAATATAACTTGTTATATGTTTTAAATGTTAAATGAGAAGCTTTAAATCCGCAGAATGAATTCGTTAGTTAGTAATTTAAATTTCATTTTAAGGCTGACTCTGAATTTTTGTCTTTGAAATTAAAATATTAGATTGATTATGTTTCTTGGATTAATTGTTGTTAAAGAAGGGAAGCTGTATTTAATATAAACTTTAAATTAATTTAATACATCTAATATTATAATATCAACTATAGTCTAGTACTATAATGTTTTACTATAATATTAAACCTCTTACATAGACTTTAAATTAATCTAATATTGTGATTGTAAATGTTTGGAGCTGTTCTAATCAGTCGTAGAATGTAAGGGGAAAGTGCAGAATCACCCACTGTTTGGCACGTTTTTAAGAATTGCACAAACTCAGTATCCATGTACACAGCGTCCTATTTTCACTTAAAAAGAATCAGAAAATTGCACAAATTAGGCATTACGCACTCCCTTGACTTTATCCATGTACACATCGATGTATTTTCACTTCACTTAAAAAGTTAAAAGAAATTGACAAAAATTCAATTTTTCTTACTCTTGTAAAAAGTGTCAAACATAATACGCCAAAATAAGTGGGCGATTCGGCTGATCTTTGGAATATGGTTACTTACCTAATCTTCTTCACTGGTAGTTTGGTGACATTTTGGAGGCGATAAAGGTTACTACCTAGGACTCTGGTAATAATGTGAAAAGTACTCAGTTCCGATTACGCATTATTTTGTGTGAGGGAAAGAGAGATCATGAGATATGTCATGTGACATTAATGGACGAATTACAGTTCTTTAATCGGAAAAGGGGGGAAATCTGGAAAAAATCTGGAAATTTTGTATTTAGCTTTATTCTGTGTTGTGTGAAACAGTGTTGGTTAATTTTTGGATCCCATATCCCTAACTAAAGTGAATTCGAAATGGGTATTTAGTGGGATTGAAAGGGATAGTAATAAGTGTTTTTTTAAGGTTGTGCAAGATAGAAGTAAAGATGTTTTATTAAGTTATTTATTTTACCTGGTACTTTGCTGTGAACTATAAGTATGATTTTAAAGATTCTGAAACAGGCGCACATACGCTTGCTTTTTATTTAGCGGAGGAAATAAGAAAAGTTTATCGGCGATGTAATCAAGATTCTGAAGAAGATTAGGTAAGTTAGTATTTTTAATTATTTGAGGATATTATTTTATGCATTGTTCTAAAGTAAGGAGTAAAATAAAGTAATATGGTATTATTGGAAAATTGTTATTAGCAATGATTAGTTTAAAGAAATTAGGATTGTAAGCTAATTTTATTAATTTAATGTATGTGCTTATTTATTTTAAGTAGTGTTTTTGAATTTATTATATTTAATTAAATGATAGTTATTTTGGAATTATGTTTGTAGGAATTGGGTATACGTTTCCGTGGAAGTAACGGCATGGAAATAATTTCAATATTTGACACTAAGTATTTGTAACCATTTGTAATGTTGAGGTATGAATTCATAGGTGACGTTTATAATATAATAGATAATTTAGAGGTAAAAGTTTTTGGATATTTTATTTATTTACGTGGAAATGTTCATCCTTGGAAAGGGTATGTACTTTTCGCGATCAGTAATTTCGATATGTGCTTTTTACCGAGTTTAAAGATTCACAGAATTTTTGCATTTTCGTGCGAATTTTGTACTTATGAAAAATAGCTGTGTAGAGATAAAGTTAAGAGTGTGTGCAATGCCATTTTGTGCAATCTGGGAGGTTTTTTAAGTAAAAAATAAGTCAACGGTAAATGGTTTATGTGTATGTGCATTCTGAAAAACGCGCAAGGAGTTTGCGATTGTGCACTTTTTCCCAATTTGCAGTTAATATTGTCATGATAAAGCAGTTTGTTACATAAAATTCGGTGATCTTTACATTATGGTACTTGGCGATGTTTGGCAAAAATTGGAACCAACTCTCCTGCAGCAACCCTCTATTTTTTTCCCCCGCCGCCATTTTGTCTTCACGAAAGTTAAAGACATGTTTCTTTTCTTTTTATCTACTGAACACTCCTTCCAACAATCTACTAGCCGAATTACACTTATGCTAGAAATTTTATCAAACAAAACTGCTTAATCATACAAATATTCACTGCAAAATTGGGAAAAAGTCCCAATACCATACTCCTACGCGTTTTTCAAAATAACACAACACATAAACCAGTACCACACCGATTTATTTTTTACTAAAAACATCCCAGAATTGCACAAAAATGGCATTGCGCACACTCTTCACTATATCCATGACACTGCTTTTTCTCATAAATTAGAAAAGTTTACGAAAATGACAATTTTCTCAATCTTTAAACCCGGTAAAAAGAATATATATGAAAATTACCTGATTGCGAAAAAGTATTTACCCTTTACAAATAGAACATGTTCCACTATAAAATAAATAAATAGCCAAAAAACTTTTACTTAAATCTCTATTACATTATACACGTCACAAACGAATTCATACCGCAAGAATTACAAATACTTATATCAATATTTAAATTATTCCATGCACGTTTATTTAACTTAAACGTATACCAATTCCTACAAACATAAATTCAAAAATAACTGTCATTTAATTAAAATATCACTAAACCATGTACACGTCGACTTATTTTTACTAAAAAAACATCCCCAGAATTGCACAAAAATGGCATTGCGCACACTCTTCACTATATCCATGTACACTGCTTTTTTCTCATAAAATTAGAAAAATTTCACGAAAGTACATGACACTTTTTCAATCTTTAAACCCGGTAAAAAGAAACATATATGAAATTACCTGATCGCGAAAAAGTATTTACACTTTACAAATATGAACATTTCCACATATAAAATAATAAAAATATCCAAAAACTTTTGCCTCTAAAATCTATTACATTATACACGTCACCAACGAATTCTACTGCAAGCATACAAATACTTGTATCAAATATTTAAATTATTCCATGCACTTATTTCAACTTAAACGTATACCAATTCCTACAAACATAAAATTCACAAAAATAACTATCATTCATTAAAATATATTAAATTCAAAAACAACTACTTAAAATAAATGAGCACATACATTAAATTAATAAAAATTACCTTAATCCTAATTACTTAAACTAAATCATGCTAATAACAATTTCCCAATAATACCAAATTCCTTTCCACCTTAATTTGAAACAATGCATAAAAATAATATCCTCAATAATTAAAAATACTAATTACCTAATCCTTCTTCAGAATCTTGATTCGTGGCGGATACACTTTTCTAATTCATTCAATAAAATTATTGGAAGATTTTTTCTGCGAATTTTTCCTCCATACTCCTCCGCAAATAAAAAGCAAACTCTCTTTATCACAATGCCTAAATACCCATTCGAATTACTTTAGTTAGGGCCATGGGATCAAAAAAACAAACATTTCACACAAACGAAATAAAGATAAATAAAAACTCACATTTTTCCCGATTTCCCCCCTTTTCCGATTAAAGCCGTAATTCGTCCATAATATCACATGACATATCCCATATCTCTCATTTCCCTCACGCAAAAAAATGCGTAATCGGAACTGAGTACTGCTCACATTATTACCAATGTCCCAGGTAGTAACCTTATCGCCTCCAAAATGTCGCCAAACTACCAGTTACCATATTGTAAAGATCAACCAAATTTTCTAGCATAAGTGTAATTCGGCTAGTAGATTGTTGGAAAAAGTGTTCAGTAAATAAAAAGAAAAGAAACATGTCTTTATTTCGTGAAGACAAAATGGCGGCAAAAAAAAAAAAAAAAAAAAGAGGGTTGCTGTAGCAGAGTTGGTCATCAAAAAATCGCCAAGTTACCATAATCCAAAGATCATCCGGCGATTCTGCAATGTACTGAAGTATTTTTCTATCTTTCCAGACTTCCCATGATATCATTCTAAAAGCATAATCATATAATTATTGGCTATATTGGGAAATCTTCAAATTGATTTTTAGGAACTTTGCCTTTTGAACAGAAGCATTATTTGATGATAACTTTCAATTTGGTTATGAAATCATTGGGAGGTAATCTTATCGTATAATACGAATAATAATTCATGCCTTGTGCATATCAAGTAAATGAAACAACACAAAGTTACCAATTTGGTGTTATACGACCACCTTAGGTGAAGTCTCCAGGAGCATAATCATTCTTCAGACAAGACAACCATGCTCATAACAATCTGTCTTTCTGATCCAAGTTCCAATGCTTTTTTATAAAATATCACCATATTTTTTGCCTTAAACTTAATTTTAAATTACGGGCATGGGGAATTGGCCAGCGGTGGAAAAATCTGCAGTAACATATTTACAGGAAAACAGAATTTTGTCACGGAATTTCTAAAGGAAACAATGAAGAGAAGCATTTGGTAGATAGCTGCTGTTGCTGAGGTTTGTGTGATAACCACTATTTGCAATTCTCTGATGTGTTTTAAGCAGAATCACTGTGTTCTTGGAGAAAAGAATAGCACAAAAATATTACATAAAAATTTGGAAATGAATGTGTTTGTTTAATGGATTTAATACATGTTTAATAATTAAAATTTGCATTTCAAATTGCTTTCGATATGTTGAAATTGTTTACCAACTTATGATAAATATAAATGGTTTGGGAATCCTTTTAAGAAAAGTCATGAAAACCACCAACTTGCACCCGGTAAGCAACTTTTACCTTTTGATTTGTGAAAAATCATCAGATTGTACTAAGGTGGTTGCGCTAATGCATAAGTACCAAAATTTTTATTGTATATATGTCGGTAAAAAATATTTCAGCGTACCCCTTGACAAAAATTGGGGAATTTTTGGTACCATTTCTGTTTACGTCCAACGCCCTTCCCAGTAAAATGGCATCCAAAACATAGTGCAATAAAACATAAAACAAAAAATATATAATCTCAATAAACTGCATTTTAAATTTAAAGTTTAGATAAACAAAGGATATGCCTTTATCCATTTTTTGCAGCAATTCCACTTTTTGTTTAATAGACTTCGAAACACTTCGCTTGTAGATCCTTTACATATTAGTAAATTATATCCAGAAATTTATTGAATTATCGAAAGTTCAAGCGTACTTTTATAAAACGCTCTAACAGTCTGCAAAAAATAAGCTGAATCCAATTCGAAGATTAAGGAACAAACGCAATCGCGACATTACTGAATTAGATAATTTTAGCTTAGCTATACCGTCCATTATACATTAAACGTGCATTCGTAAACGTATTTGCGCACGCGCACACACATATTCGCAGCCGTAAAGGTGTTGACGCATGCGCAGAAAGTTTGTAGCTTTGAGGTCCGGATTATGGGTGTCCAAATTAACGACTTTTGACTGTAGAATGTTTATTTTGATTAGCATATTATGTAATAGAGCATTACTGAACAGGAGGTAAAAATGTCTAAATTGTCATTTCCCATGCAGATTTTGAGCAGTATGCATCTTTACACAAACTTGGAACTTGCTAACATGCATTTTATCTATTGGGTTGTGGAGGGAAGCTTGTAGTAAGTACTTGAGAATTTTCACTGGACCTTCGAGTAACTGCTTTGTTATAGTCACAACTTGCCAGATAAGTGCATGTTGGTAAGCTTCATGTTCATGTAGTGATGCATACTGCTCCAAATTAGCAAAGGGAATGACAGTTTACAGCAGTCAAATGATTTTAGCTGCTGCTCAGTGGGGCTCTTTACCACCTCAAAATGTAATTTTGGCACATGTATTCCAATGCAAAATGTGCTCATTTTGGCCCCCTCTACCTGCTTTTACATTTCTGCCAGTTATTTTTTAATCATGCTATATTTCTTAACATTATAGTAGGCTTAAAATTTCTTTAAATCTTTTTTTTCACTTGCAGATAGAAGAAGCAGTTAATCTTGTACCCAAAATGTGTCCAGAAGAGAAACTAAAAGCAGTTCAATTTTGGAATATAGTATCAGAGAAACTTCAAGATATCGTAAATAATAGTGCTGCTGATATCAATGCTGTTGCTCTTAAAATGGGTGTGGAGGATTCTGAGAAGGTTATTATTTTACATTATTATTACATTTATTTTGTATTTAAGAAAATAATCCTCTTTTTCTAAATTAAAGTTATAATCTTCACCATTTATAAAGCTGTTTGTAAAAATCTTTCATTTAAGGGTTGAGAAAAATGCACATTCCAGAAACTGAAGTTACATTTCTTCATGTTCAAAATTTTATGTTTAAATAAATTAGAAGCAATGGACATTAATTAAGCAAATTTTGATGCTTACATGAAAACATTCAGACATTTGGTTATCAAGTATGTAAATTAGCTAAGAAAAATAGTTTACATGCGATCTACTTGGAACTTCTAAAATATTTGGATGCATTTTAAGCTCTTTTAAACTAACTCTGATTTTTTTATAAGGCAAATTCTTATTAAGATTTAGAACAAATTGGTATTAAAATGGTGATCTCAAAATCTAATAATTAATCTAAATCTCATAATATTAATCGCATCTGAATTCTATGTCAAGTGATATGATGGTAACTTATTTCAAACACTATTTTGTGTTACTAGAATTGAAATATCACAAACAAATCTAGTATCAAACTTCTAGCTGTCTAAATAGCAAATAAAATATTATTATTCTTCCATTGCTGTTTTTTAAAATATAATTTTATTTAAGTTGAATGCGCCTTTATTTTTTGTTGTGTTGCCGTTCTGTAGTAGAGAAAAGTATCTATTCAAATCAGACTAAACTTATAATATGTGTTGCACATTCATAAAATAATGATTAGAAATATTAACATGTGATTTTGAAGTCAAAGCAATACTGATGGAATAAAGTTCAGTTTAAGATTATGAAAAAAGAAGAAGGAAGAGCTCTATATTAAATTGCTAACGCTATAGGGCAAAAAGGCTCTTGTGTCTAGAACGGGGTTCGGCAACCTTTCTGGAGTTAAGAGCCATTTTTTTCCTGGTATGGTAATTTTTTTTTTTTTTTAAAGAGCCAAATGTAAGCACATACATTGATAATATTAGAAAAAAATATATAATGTTTATCTGCTGTGAAACATATATTTATTATGAAACCAAAATATTTTATTTAATGTAGTAATAGAACATACAATTCAACATGTAAAAAGAAAAAGGTAAACTGTCTTTATAAGTAATTTAAATAAATCTAATAGTAAAAAAAACCTAATTGCAATAGGTTATATAACTGCTTAAAATACAAAGTAAATGTCAAAAATAATAGAAACACAAATATTTAATATTAGTGAAATTTTTTTATTTGAGTAGAGGCATATAATTGTTTAAATGTCGTGAATATTCAGTAGTTTTTAACCTCGTGCAACTTTCGAGGCTTTCGTCATTAAGCATACTTCTTAATTGGTTTTTAATAAGGGTCATATCTGAAAATAATTGTTCTCAAGTGAGTAGATCTGAAAATGGTCACAATCAGGGCTTAATTTCTAAGATTAAAAGGGCTGGAGCCCTATGGAAGACTGTCAGCAAAGAGGAACAAGAGTAAATAAATAAATAAAATGACTATTAAACTCATTAATAATTTAAAATTAAATAGTTAATTACATCAAATTATTAAAGCTATTAATTAATGTTTATAAATGTACTTTACAATAATTATATATAATAATTATAATTAATATAATTTAGATAATTAATTATATTTATTGAAATAATTAAAGATTGAAGTAATTAAATAAAATGTAAGGACATAAATTGAAATTTAATAAGCAATTTTTAATATAATTTTATTGTTAAAATAAAATTTTCCAGATAAAATTTCTACTGAAATTGCTATTTAATTACATAAAAGAAGTGCCGCAGCCTTCTTATTCAATGTACCGGTGCGTTCTGGCTGGAATTATGATTTATTGGAAGAACTAAGAAGCACCGGAGCCGATATCCGGTGGGCTCCGGCCCAATTTAAGCTCTGATCGTAGGGGGGGGATGAAAAGTTCTATTATCATCACAAAAATTAAATATATTTAAAGCATAGCTGATGAAAATTCCAGGGCAAAACAGAATGAGGGTATGAGTGGGTGGAAACAAAAAATGAGGGGAATTTTGGTGAGAGAGAAGTTCTCTGACCGCGGTCTCTGCTGATATAATTATAGCATCAAGCAGATGTGGTCAGGGGGTAAAAGAGTCCTGAATCTGACTCCTAAGATGAATGTAAAGTTGTTGTTTTGCTTCCCCCCCAATAGTGGATACTGTGGGAAGACGATGTATAGGAAGCACTTGAGTGTTTATCTCAGTATTTCACTCTTATTGTACTCGCTGTCACTTAACGCACATTTAAGGACACAAATTTTCCTTCCTGTGAGGATAATTAACTGTAAGCATTGATATCAATACAGAAGATACGATGGCAAGACAAGAAATTTGCGCGTTCCTAAACAAACTCCCCCAATTTATTGCCCTTCTTAAAGGGGAAAGGTGCATTGAGAGAGGGGACTTCACTTGGACGTCTCATGTTCTCATGAGTTCGTATTTCTAGGGAAGTAAAGTATTGCAAGGTCTGCTTATTGTTAAACTAAAATGTTAGCAATTATAATTTTTCCCCCTTTTCATTGGGGTTCATTTTATAAAAAGAAGTACCGGAACTTATCTTGTTTAGGGCTCCAGTGCGTTCCGGCTAAAATTGTATGTTATCTTAAAAATTGAGAAGTAATGCAGCCAGGCTCCAGTGGGCTCTGCTGCAATTTCAGCACCAGTCACAATGACAAATGCATATGTTGTCACTTGATCATAAAAAATCAGGTAGACAGTTCCATGTTTCAGATATAATTTCTTCCTTTTTCGTACGTTTTCAAAAATCCATCCACTGCTATGTTGCAGCCAATTTTTCTTTCTCTCTAGCTAAGTATTCTAGTTCTGACTGAAAATTTATGAACTTTTCTGTCTAGAGATCTTTATTCTTAAATCTAACAACTGTAATTCAAGCTGAGCTTTGTCAGTGGTTGGGAACGGTGTAAAACTCGCACACCTTCACCTATAGTTGCTTTGTTAAAAATGATAGAGTAAGCTTTTCAGACCTAAAATCTTTAAAACAAGTGTTAAATGGCTCTTCCATTTTTATAATAGCTGGGACAAAAAATGCATTGTTAATATTACAATCTGAATTGCTTCTGGAATCACTTAAAGTTTCAAAATGTAGTAAGTGTCCATATCCCATGTTCTGGACAAATAATGTTAGTTGTTCAAACAAAATCATCACTTCTAAAAACGTGTGTGTAATATTACCTCTCCCTTGTAGATTTTTATTCAAGTTGTTTAAATGTAATGCCATATCAATGGGAAATAAACATTTTGCAGCCACTTATCATTACTTTTCCTTTTTGTAGTAGGAATGTCTTGCTATGTTTGAGGCATGAGGTGAAACATTTCAGTACTGAGCCTCTGGACAGCCAATGCATTTTGTTATATGAAACAAGATCAGAATATTGGCTATTTGCTTCCTTTAATAATCCAGAAAACTGTCTGTGAGAAAGTCCTTTTGCCATTATTTGATTTACTACCTTAGTGACTAAATCCATCACACATACAATCTCTTCTGGAAACGTGTGTGTGCAAAGTGCTTCCTGATGACTCATGCTGTGAAACGAAAGCATGATCCACCTTTTCTCTAAAGAGTGAACTAGTTAAAAGCTGGCACTGCGATCTAAAGTAGATGCACAACCAAGCCCAACCCCAACTTCAAACCTTCAAATTGGGTGGGAGGTGAATCTGTCAGGCAGAAAAATACCTTCTACTGAGAGCTTAGAAAATTCACTCTACTGCTGCCCCATGCCACACTTATGGGCAGCAGATCAAAACATTCTCTCATTACTCATTGCTGAACAGGTCAACCGGGGTTACCACTTTGGCGAACTGAGATCACCATGAAGTGTGGCACTTTTACCCTGGAGATTTGACTGGTCATCAAAGTGTCAATCCCCTCTTGGTCCTACTGTATAGGATGAGCTTCCTTCAGGGTTCTTGGACCACCAGGCTTGTAATTATGTTTCCCCAGAGTGCCACTGTCATGATAAAATACCATGCCAGTCAAAACATCCCGGTGGGATTCAAAGAGAGAAGAAAAATCTTTGATTTTACATGTCATACTAGGAGCTCCATCGGTAGCAATAGACAACAATTTATTTAGGTCAATTTTCTTTGTCGTCAGTGTTCCAAAATATATTGTTGCGTACCCATAATTGTTGTGTTTTTTTCTTTTCTGATACCAGTTGTTATGTTATTTTCTTCCTTCACGTTCGTACGGGGTTTGTAGATTTGGAGTGAATAACGACCACACTTGATGAAGTATCAAAACACACTTGACACACTTGTCCTGATTGATATTTACCAATATCAATCAGGACAGCTCCAAAACACTTTTACAGTTGTAGAAGATCTCTATACGATCAGACACGATCTAGCGATCACTGACAGCTTTCACGGCAAAGCACTAGAGTACAGCTCTCAACTCTGCTTGGTCGTCCACTTACTCTTGAGAAACACTCCACTACATCTTGAGAGACTCTCCACACTTCACAAACTCGACGATACTACAGAGCCGACTCACCTCTCGTTCGTCTTCCCGATCAAAACATCTCTCCAACGATGGGCACTTTCGCACTGACGAGCACTCTCCTGATCAACTCGACTCGCTAACCATGAACTCCACTTTCATGCACTCATCGGCTTTTTCGCCAAGGTTCGACCTGGAGGCATTCCTAAACCGATAAGAATTTGTTCCAGAAGGTTCTCCATCAGTCCATGGCATATCGCCAATTTTGTCGCCACATGTCGCCAAATGGGAGGTTTCTCACCAAATGATGCAACCCTAAAACTGTTTTGCGGGGAAGCCATCTCACCGCACCTTGACATTTTGTAACAATATATATATCTTCACACATATGACCGTTAAAGAGTAGTAGCGCTAATAATTCTTCTCAAAGACCTGTTTCGAATACATACCGCACTACTAATATAACTTATGCTACATCTTTTACGTCACATGACTCATCACACTCAATAGAAAATGCAGATGATACTTTCTTGATAGTCTTCAATTCACTGACTTGTATTTTTCACCATGAACAGTTCTCTCGTGGTACTTTCTTGATAGTCTTCAATTCACTGACTTGTATTTTTCATCATGAACAGTTCTCTCGTGGATGGTCTTTGCTGACAATGCTGCGTCATTAATTTTCTTTGTTATGCCGTTCCCATTTTTAAAATCTTGAAAAAGGTGATCAGTTATATTTAAACAACATTTTTTAACAAATTCTTTATCAGTGAAGGGTTTCCATACTTGGCTATATCCTGAGCAACAGCAAAAGTGGCTGTGGGAATATTAGTAGAAGAGTACATCCAGCTGCTAAATAATATGTTGATTTTTGCATTCTATGATGTAATTCTATCACTGTCTTTCTTTCATCTCCAAGGGGATACTTTCTAGCAAAAGATTCATCTTTTGTTAAAAAATGACGCTCTGTATTTGACTTTTTTAGTCGAAAAGAGCTTTGTTTCTGAAGGGCTATTTTTTTCGTTTTGCGATTTTGCATTGAATCACTATAAATGTCCATTTCACTTTTCAAACTGTTGCCATCAAATTTTAGAGTCTTGCATTATATTTGAAGAAATTAAATAATGAAAAATCTGCATAAATGTAGAGCCATCGAATTTTAAATGACGTAATCTACTATGAATATGGGCATGTGGAAGCCCAAATTCGAAATTTGGAATTTGTTTTATTATTGATTTCATATTTTGTAAAACTGCAAATGAATTTTTGAAGTAACAAACTCAATGATTTGAAAGCGAGCAACGGCAACAATCTATGGGGGGAGGGGACCCGTTTTATCTCCAGCGCGTGGAACTGTGCACCGGAAATTCTAAAGATAGGCTCATTTTAAAATTATGTTGTGAACATTCTAAATGCTTAGAAATATTACAAATGTTAATTTTAATAACATTTTCATACTTAAAAATGTAAAACAAACAAAAAAATGAAAAAAAGTGACTTTTTTGGGATCAAATTTGGAAAAAATATGAAACTGTTAATTGTTAATGTAACATTAGCATTGGAAAAAGAGCTTTCTTAAATTAGTTTTTTGACATAAAACATTTATCTAACAACACAAATACTTAGATAATTGTGCATTTTCTAAGATGATGTAATGAGTAAAATTTAAAAATAAGAGTAAGAATTGTACTCAGAATCAAAATGCTTTTAAGACTTAACGTCTTAACATCAGTTTATTAAGTTTTTTTTTAATATTATGTATATGATTACATATCAATCTATTTGCCATTTTTCAGGCTAGTAATCTGAGAACAATGTAGCAAAAAACTGCAATGCATCTGGTGTTTTCTGAAAACTTTTCAGATGAAATGGAATTAATGACACAAGCTTTTTTGTATTCAGTTTTGTTGTATTGTTTTTGTTATTTTTTTGTTGTATAAACTGTTTCTCTTAATATTGGATTGCCATAATTTAAATTTAATTTCAAATTATGTCATTCTTTGAAGCATCATTTATTAGTTACTTTTGCACATGTGTGAAATAAATGGGATTGCATCAAAGAGTTCTGAGGGCTCCCATGGGGCCATAGGGTGAACATCAATGAGTTTAGATATATATCAAATGAAAATCTGCATGCAAAAGTTTCAAATTTGCAACTTTTAGACCTTAAAAAATGGAAAGTAAGAAATATTAATGTTCTAAAGATGATTTGAAAGTTAACAAAATTGAAGAAAAGTTTATAAACAGATAAAAATGAAGTCTGTAATAATTTTATTCAAAATAAAATGCTCACTTTTGAACATATTTTTTATGCCTGTAGTTGCTTTTAATTGTGTATTTTAATATCTGTCTAATATAGGTTTGTACTGCTACTATATTTACATATTAATTTTTCGTTAGATGTATTATAATACTTACTTTCTTATTTAGATTAATTTAGAAATTGAAAATTCTGCTTCTTCAAATATTTCTCCTGATTTCATGCATTTGCCTTCAAATTATGCTATATGCAGTGGTAAGTTCTAAGTTTTGCGAGCATGAAATAATGCTGGTTAATTTACTTATTTATTAAAACCTTATTTTTATTATGTCTAGTTATTTTTGAAATTTTTATCATACTTGTTTTGAATTTTCATACATTCAGTAATATTGTCTAAAAGAGTAGTTATTAAATTTTATAAAAAAAAGTTTATTAAAAAAAATGAGTTAAAGCTTCAATAATTTGAAAATAAAATTACTATTCTGTTACTGAAAATAGTTTTGTATTTAAAAATAATTTCTGAAACTTCTAGTAATTGAATGCTTGTGGTTTATATTGCATAATATATATTTTTTCTTGCTTTTTAATTCCTATGTGGCTATGTTGGACTTATCCTATGCAGCCCTTAAGCTGGCATATGTTCTTTCATTGCTAGAGAAAAAAACTCTGGGCCCCTTGTAGTGTGGGCCCTGGTAATGATTCAGTATAATATATAAAAAGTCCTGAAGTAAAAGCCCTTAAGTATGATATTTTTTTTTTTTTTTTTTTAAAGAAAGTTAACTTATGAGTAATTATTTTATTTTATTAGAAAATAATGCATGTATGCTTAAAATAAAAAAGGTGCTATTTTAACAAATAACAAAATAAAATTAATGAAAATTCATGGTCAAAAGCCCCATAACTGGATATATTTCATTATAAAAGCAAATTTTATACTGCAGAAAATTTTTTCAAAGGTAGTTTTTTCACTTTTATGTTAACATGGGTTTTGGGGTTTCTTTACTTGTTAATTATTCCAACTTGTGAACTTTACATATAAAAAATAACTGGGCACCTAGTCCAATGCTAGACAAACTCATTAGTCAAAAGAGCCAAAGAACAGCAGTGCAATAATTAAGAATTCTTTTGAAAGCCAAATATCTTTTCAAGAACCATGTTTCTAGGAGTATAACTGTGCTGAAGTAATTTGTGTTAACAGTTGCCACTGGTTTTATCGCGATATTGCTTTAGAAATTGAAAATGAAGTAATTTACCGCTCTGAATATCTTCTGCAAAAAGAATTATTTTTTCTTCAACAAACCAATTCTTCTACCAAAACATAGGCTGGGTTTCCCTTTCCTTGCAGTTTTAGATTCAGCTCATTTAATTTCACTGTGACATCCACCATAAAGTAAAATTTTTGCAGTCATTTGTCGTTCTCTAATTCAGGGTGATTAATGCCTTTTTCATTTAGGAATGTATTTATTTCATTTAAGCACAAAGCAAGAACACTTGATAGTGCTTAAGAATACTTGATCCATCAAAATCTCCTGGTCCTGATAATTGGTAAAATGATATGTATCTTAACCCTAGAGGTAAAGAGTCTGTCTTAGAAATTTTTAATAAATCCTGGAAGCTAGGTAGACTTAATCAAAATTGAAAACATACTCTTATTGTACTAATTAGAAAGCCTAATAATGGAATGGTCTAAAAGTACCTACTCTAAAATAATAGACTGCAATAGGGTTTCAGCTTCAGGCCTCCATTTGCATTAGCTACAGTGAAATATGTTATTTTTATGCCTTGGCAAAATCTTTTCTTCTTTGTTGAGAAGGCTGTTTTAGACATATTTTTCTAGAACAATCTAGTTTCGTCATCTATTTTTTCACAATTGGGAGATCTTTTACATCTTGTGTGCATATTCATTATATGGTATGCTAGTTGTGCAAACCATTCTTAATGTAAAGCACTACATACTGTACATGTATAAATCATTTAATAAATGTAATAAATTTATTATGGAGTAATTGACAAAATTATGTATTGAACTTAACAAAAATTTAAAATTGTTGTCATGATGTTAATTAAATAAACTATTTATTCACCAAATGCAGTTGTCATTAATTGTCATGTATGCCTTTCTAACATGTAGTGTTTATAATTTTTTTTCAGAAACTGATTCTCAGTATAATAATACTATTATTAATAATACAGAATTAATAGCCAGTGGATCTCAGTTCTCAACTAATACAGAAGACAATGCTGATGTAACAACAGAACCTCATGTCCAGTACTTACGTACATCAGTTGATTGTCATGGTCATATATCGAAACCAAATAGCCATGATTTATCTAATCAGTTCTTGAATATTGAAAATCTTCATTCTGATAACTGTAATACATTTATTGTAAACTCAAGTTCTTCTGAAATTTCTAAAGATCTCGTATCTGTTCCAAATATTAAAAATAGTGATTCTCAGTTAGACACGAGAGATTCATTGACTGTAGATGAAAAATGCTCCTTGTCTGGTCCTAAAAAAAAACCAAAAACCAGATCTGGTGTGAAAAACAATGAAAACTGTAGTAAGAATTCTGTGAAGTCTCTGCGTGTAGGTAAAAATATCAGAGCTTCAAAGAAAAAAGGAAATAAATTTTCTTTGTTGAAACACTTAGTTTTACAAAATAAGAAATGTGATGAATCTAAAAACAATTTAAAATCTGAAAATAAGGAACCTGTGATTTCAAATGTAAGTGAGAATTTGAAAGATAGCTGTAGTGGAGACAAATCAGATTTTGATTCTCTGTCCGCTTTAGATGAGTCAAATGAATCTGGTTCAACAGAACGCATTGTGAGTTTTGTTGTCTCAAATACAGAGGTAAGTAATGCCTTTTCTTTCTTTTAATTGCTATAATGTATAAGCTAAAAGCTTTTTCATAGCATTTTTAGTTCTCTTTCAATGGATATTTACTTATTGGGATAAATAATTTTAAAAAGTTAAATGCGTTTTTGTATTATGAAAAATCACAATGAAAAATTTAGTGTGAAGAATTGGCATGTAATTAATATTTACCTTATGTACAAAATTTTAATTGTATCATATTTCAGATCTTAATATTCTTCAAAAAGAAGCTGTTTTATAAAATACCTAGACTGGATTGGTTATTTTTAAGCATGCCACCATCATGAATGTGATGAATGAGACAACATGATAAGTTGTTATTTGGAGTGACTGGCACTTTGCAGAATTAATGTAATTAAAGATTTGATATGGAAACCAGATTTCCATATCAAATCTTTAATTACATTAATTCAAATAAGATAATTTATTAACATTCAGTAAATTTTCACATTTATACAAAGCTAACAGTTTAAAAGTTTTTTAATGGAGTAGAAAATTAAATATACTTATAACTGCTTATTCCACATGTACTCTATAAGCAAGCTTTGTAATGAAAGTAATTTGAATGCGACATTTGTGTGAATTTGTATATTTAAAGTTTTCTACAGCATTTGAACATATTTTTAATACAGTTAAAAGTCGTTAATCCGGACTCGTCGGGACTTCGGCGATTCCGGATTATAGATCATCAGTTTAAATCTGGTAAGATGGCATGCAGAAATTATAAAATTAAAAATATGAAACCGTAATTTATGAAATAAAGAACAATTATGATCTAAAGGGTATCAAAATTTACAAAAAAAAAAAGCTTAATATTTATTTGTTTACTTTATTAAACATTTCTTTCAATGTAAGTTGTTTAAATTGCTTCGTTTTTTATGTGATAATACATTCTCTTTAATTCTATAAAAAGACATAATTTCTTGTTCAGTTACAAAGTTCTGCTGTTCAAGTCCTATAATTGCTGTGTCGAGAATACCGACTAATTTGTCAAAGATAAACAAAGTTTAGATAAACAAACGTTAAAGTTTAGATAAACAAAGAATATGCCTTTATCCATTTTTTGCAGCAATTCCACTTTTTGTTTAATGGACTCCGAAACATACTTTCACTTTAAATATAAATCGGAAATTCTATTTGACATAATCGAAAGTTCAAGCTTACTTTTATAAAATTGCTCTAACAGTCTGCAAAAAATAATAAGCCGGATCCAATTTGAAGATTAAGGAACAACGCAATCTGCAACATTAACTGAAATAGATAATTAGATAATTTTAGCTTAGCTTATACCGTTCGTTATACATTAAATGCGCATTCATAAATGTATTTTGTGCACGCGCACACACAAATTCACAGCCGTAAAGGTCTTACGCGCATGCATCAACGTGGCACACGCGCAGAAAGTATGTAGCTTTGAGGTCCGGATTATAGATCATTCCAGATTATGGGTGTCCGAATTAACGACTTTTGACTGTAGTACTTTCATAGCAAGAAGGCTGAAGTTTCAGTTCACAGTTTTGGTTTAGAGTTAATTTGATTGGACGAGAGGCATCTGCATTAAAACGTTACATAAGATAGAAAAGTCTGGAACCTGTGAGAAGAGATGAATTTAGGGGCAGATCATCAAATTTAAAATGTTAATTTTGAGGATGTCAATTATTTTTTTTGAAACAGCTATCATATTTTGCTATATCTTACATATCCCCCTCTTCAAAAGAAAGGCTGTATGAGCACAGTGGAAGAAAAAGCATTAGAGCAGCAAAATGTTAAAGTTATAATTGTGAAAATACAAAACATATCTACTTTTTTTAAAACAAAAAATTAGATGTAAAATATAAAAAAATATGATGGCTTTGCTCTTTGCGAACCAGCAACCTTTAATTAATTTTCTGCAATTCAGCATCTTCCCTTAGACCATTACCTTCTAGAACATTCGCGCCTATTACATAACCTCCTCATATAAATGCTGTGCGCCTATTACATAACTTCCTCATATAAATGCTGCGTCGTAAGTTTTTCTACATTTTTCTAGAAGCTACACTGTTACATAAGATAGAAAAGTCTGGAACCTGTGAGAAGAGATGAATTTAGGGGCAGATCATCAAATTTAGAATGTTAATTTTGAGGTCGTCAATTATTTTTTTGAAACAGCTATCATATTTTGCTATATCTTGCACACACACACACACACACACACATATATATATATATAACTGTTCAAGAAAATTTGTTCTTGTTGGTTATCTGATATCATCTAATTAAGTTTTAAAATAATTTAAAGCCCCTTCGACTGATGAAAATCACTTTGGATGCACATGTCTGGCAAAGAGCAGTCAGTATCACCAAGAGTAATGACAATGCAGAGTCTGCATTGAAGTTAACAAGAGATTTCCAGCTATAGCAGTAAACATTCTGCACACCATTCATCCCTTAAAAGGGTGGGAATGCAAGAAAGACTAAACCAGAAATGCATTATTTCCATGTCATGCATCTCCATATTCAGTGGCAACAGAAGTTTTAAATGTCATTTTTGTTCAATTTCGGCAAAGTAACATGATTTAAAAAAGGATTTGATTTTGTATTGTGAAAGATAATAGTGTTTCCTTTTGGGAACATGCAAACTTGCTTCTTTATATCAAGCACGTGTTTCACCAGAATTTTTATTACTCTTTTTTTTTTTTTTTTTTTTTTTTTGTGTTAAAACAAACTTTGTTAGTATTATTACATGTTAATTTTTATTTCTGATTAATTTTCCTATTTTGGGGGGAATTTTTATGTAACGTAATGCTAATTTAAAAAAAAAAAAATTTTTATTTTAAATGAATTTCTGTACACCACAGAATTTTTTTTCTAAATTGTAATTTTCATGTCAAAAATCATATATGCCTTGGATTATAAATACTAATTTTTACTTGGCAACTGAAGTAAAATTTTATTGAATTTTAACCCTGTAAGTGTAGCATGTTTTTGGATTTGTCTAGAAGATTTGTACTTAAACAGCATTTATTAGTTAAGTTTATATAATTACTTACTTTAGTCTCTGTTTTTGCAAATTTACATTAAGATGACAATTACATTATTGTTAAAGTAAGAAAGCAAAATATTTTTAATTTTAATTTAATATATACCATGTGACAAACAAATCTCATAGCCTTATAAAGCTGGTTATCATAGCCTTATAAACCTCAGAGGGTTAAACTTTATGTTCTCATTTGTGAACACTAGCATGTAAAGGTTAATCAGACAAACAGTTGTTTAATACCCATAATCAATCAATAATATGCTTATGTGTTCATACAGTAGATGGAATTGTTCATTTTAGTGGAAACTATTGACACATCATAAAACACCACATACAAGGGAAAATATATTTATCCTTGTTATTGATATTATTAAAAAATGAAAAGCAAATTTAAGTCTGAAGTTCAGTTTTGTAACCATTTATTAAACAAGTGCAGTAAAATACAAAAAGAATTAGAAAATAATTTTTAGCATATAGCTTATGGTTGTTTAGCACATATACTTAATTTATTGGTCAAAGATTTAGATACATAAATATTACTTACTATCAGCATGTTATTCAAGCCATAAAATGTTTTCAAAATCATCAATCTTGAATTTAATGAATACAATGGTTTAAATATATCATCTGAAGTATGTTGAAATCCAGTATACAATTTGCTTGAAAACTGTATAAAGAACTGATCAGTTTTCTTTGAAATTTTGGAAGAAAATCAAGGTGAAGCAGACAAAAATTTTCGGTCAGAATTTCTTAACATGGCAGTCAAATGCAATGTTGAAGATCTCTGACTTTGTTTGAAGCAGGCTTTAGTCACTTTTGATAGAATCCAGAAGTATAACTGCAGCATTCCTAAAACTGTTAAGCAATGTTAAGTTGTTTGGGGACACAGGTTAAAAATATTGATAAAGAATGCATGAAATTATTTAAAACATGATACGAACAAGCACTATCATCACATTTTTATATATATATTTTATGATTAATATAAAGCTGAAATCTTAGTAGCGAGTGAAAAAGGCACTGCATTTAGCAATAGAATATATGAGACAGTAATTCTAACAGTGCTGTATTCAACGTTGCATTGAAATTTATAATCCATGTTCTACTTGTCCATCGAACTCTTTTTGAAAATTAGATAATGACCACACCTTAGTCATGGAAATGAATAACATTTGTGAAGGAATGCATAGGGAAAGAGATGGATATCATCGAAATGTTAAACACACCAAGTAGGGAATTTCATGAGTGGGGACTGAAAGTTTTGTACTTTCGGGAAAAAAAAAAGAAACATAAATTAGGAGTTTAAGGCAGTAAAATTTTAAAGCACTGAATGCAGATCACATTAATGTAGACAGATATATTGTGATAAATTGTTTTGAAAAAAATTATGTTGGTTGCTAATGTAAGTGCCATTCTTATGGTTATAGTTACTCTGATTGCTTATTTGTATATATATATGTTACTGGCAAAGTTTGAAATCCGGCATTCTATAGAATGCCTAAAACTAGCCGGCAATCTCTATAAACGATTCATATTTCACACATTTCCTAGACATTCTTTAGAATGGCAAATGACAAACCGGCAAAGTATGAAATACATTTCTGATTCATTTTGAAGAACCAAAACTACTTACCAGAAATTAATAAAAAAGCCAAAATGACTACTAAGAAGGAACCACGGGACTACTGGCTGCTGATTGCTAAGATGTGATGTTTGTATTAAACAAAATTACATTCATTTATCCTGTTAAAGAAAAGGTCAATTTTTCAATTCTATACACTATTACGTCACAGACACAGGAGTTATTTCCTTTACTTCATGAAAACTCATTCGAGTACTGGACATGGACGACGAAATAGAATGTTGAAAGCACATTCAGCCAAATACAAAAACGTTACATGAAGATTTCATGCCCCCTCCTATTTGCCAAGAATGGATTGCATTTAATTTTAAAAATTGGAGCATTGCATTTAATTTTAAAATTTCCTGACATCAATTTGGCGCTGCTTGGATGCTGCGTCTAGGGACAGTTGCCCCCCTCTAGCTATGCTCCTGCTGCCAGAAAAAAACAAAAAGGTAAGGTTCTTAATGTTTTGAAACTTATGTTTGTTTATGAATTTAATTTCCATTGTCAGGTAGATCTTACTGATTCCCAGTGTCACCCAGATAAAAAATACAAATTTATTATGTTGTACCAAGATCATCTCGCTATTATTTTTTACATATTTCAAATAATAATTTTTTTAATGGCACTCTTTCAGTAATTTTTCAAAATAACATTTGTATTTTTGAGGAATGAACATCCTTCAAACAATAGCTTTATCATAATCTTTTTTTCATACTTTGCCTAAAGAGCATTTGTTATTGTATAGAATGCCTAGGTATTCTATACTATGCGTAGGGAAAGTATGTAATAATTCTCACATTTCATACCTTGCCTAAAAACGTCTGGCATTCTATACAATACCTAGGCATTCTATAGGATGTCTGCGTTTCATACTTTGCCGGTAACATTTATAAAAAATATAAATACAAGAGTGGAAGGTGTTTTTTTTTTTTTTATTATTATTTATTATTTATTTTTATTTTATTTATTTTTTTTTTTTTTTTGTGCGTGTGTGTATACATATATGTAAGTTTAAGTGATTATAATGACTTTGCAAGTTACTTATGCCAAAAGGTGTTGTGCTCTAAATAAAATTATATACAATTTAAATTATGTCTTATTATTAATTATTCTATCAATTTACATATAATATATCTATTACACTTCTTAATGTTCATTAATTAATTAGTCTTAATTAGTTTGAAAACCTTATCTTAAGTATTTACTAAGCTATTAAAGAAAAATGGGTACTGTTCTGCTATAAGAGAACCAGGTTCAGAAATGTATGCATATATATATGAATAAATATGTTCATGTATGTATATATGTGCACATACATGTGCATATATGTGTGTATACATATGTGCATACATGCATATGTGCATACATACATACATTTCTGAATCTGGTCCTGTTAACAGAAGAGTATAAAAAAATTAAACAAGGAGCAAGAAACAGACAAAAAAAATATTAACTGATCATAAATACTGTTTATTTTTTCCCAACTTAGCAAATTGTCTTATGTAATACCATTATATTAGGTATTCAAAATTTTATATTTAATAACATTAGTGAGTAAAGCATTTTACTTTTTTAAATGTGCTTACTTTAACACTGCTACATAAATATTTTTGAGCACTTTTTAATACAGCAAAAATATATGTCATTATTTCATATAAAAGTCTTATTAAATAAATAATTTCTTTCCATATACAAATTGCATTTTGATCACTACAGTACTTTTATGTAGATTTTAGATAGATTGTATTATTATGCAGATTTAAGATAGATTATATTATTTGTTAGCAGTAGCCAGGTATTTACACATGTATACATGTATAATTTTGAAAAGATGTCACTATTTTAGGAAATATTAGCCAAAGGTGAAATCCAGCCACATCAACCATGTGCAGAAAATGCAGTCATTAATTCAGAAAAACCATTCATCTGCAAAGTGTGTGATAAAGTGTTACCTGATAGTTCATCTCTTACTAGTAAGCTTTGCTTTGTATGTAAAATTATATTATTTAAATAATCATTTTCTTTCTAACATAATTTTTTCTTTATAGCTCATTCTTGGGTTCATACCAAACCATATTCTTGTACAGACTGCCAGGCTCAGTTTTCTACCAAGGGAAATTTAATTGGTATGTACATTATTAGTATTACTGTAATTAAGTTATCTGATTTTTTAAGATTGTATGAAATCTGTTTGCTTATATTATATTAGGACATCTAAAAAGTTCTGTTGGTTTTTTATGATAAATACAAATAAAGCAGTACAAAACATACAAAAATTTAATTGAATCATATAAGTACCATTTTGTTCTGTGATTTCTGACCATATCTCTGGCATCTGAAAAATTCCTTCTTTAAAAAGGATTTTTCGTAGAGAAGTTATCGATGTGCTATTTGACAGTCTGCAAAGGAGTTAACTCCATGCTGTTCAGGGTATTTTGAAATGACCTGAAGAGTTGAAAATCTAAGGCCAAAATTTGGTGAATATAGGGAATGACAGAAAACAATCTGCACACTCAAACGGTCTTCATCTAACATTTTGTCGAATTGTGGGGCCAAGCATGATTGAAGCTTGATGCTTGATCAGTTCTGAAAGCTTTGCTTTAATTGCTGCTCTTAAAACTGTCATTTAGGAACACCTTTTTTTTCAGATTTATTGTCTGATCTGATGGGAATAAATTATAGTAGTAATTCATCCTTTGTAATCCCATCATACACAAAGCATTGCTTTTTGGGCCCTCTTGATGTTACTAAAGGAGAATCTTTTGGCTTTTCCTAAGATATTTTTCTTCTAGCATTATTGTACAGTCAAAAGTCGTTAATCCGGACTCATCGGAACTTCGGCGATTCCGGATTATAGATCATCAGTTTAAATCTCGTAAGATGGCATGCAGAAATTCTAAAATTAAAAATATGACACCGTAATTTATGAAATAAAGAACAATTATGATATAAAGGGTATCAAAATTTGCAAAAAGAAAAGCTTAATATTTATTGTTTACTTTATTAAACATTTCTTTTAATGTAAGTTGTTTAAGTTTTGCTTCGTTTCATGTGATAATACTTTCTCTTTAATTCTATTAAACAGACATAATTTCTTGTTCAGGTACAAAGTTCCGCTGTTCAAGTCCTATAATTGCTGTGTCAGTGTCAAGAATACCGACTAATTTGTCAATCGAAATTTTTTTCGTTTTCAATAACCTCTGTCACTTTTCTTTGCTATCGGAAGGCGAATTATAATGACGAGGAACTTGTTTTTAAATCATATCAAAGACGGAGCATATCGAGATGAAATACTACATTTGGTAAGGAATTATAAGCCAAAAAAAATAAAAAACATCTGCGCTGAAGATAAGGATAGTGCTGACAGATCAACTTCAATTCATTACGCGCCCGCCGCGGCGTTCGTTCCCCTGCCGAGCAGCAGCGTGAAATTGATAAACAGATTTCGGATTTCAAAACATACTTTCGTTTTAGATCCTTTACATATTAACAAATATATATCGGAAATTCTATTTGATATAATCGAAAGTTTAAGCTTACTTTTATAAAATTGCTCTTACAGTCTGCAAAAAATAATAAGCCGGATCCAATTTGAAAATTAAGGAACAACGCAATCGTCGACATTAACTGAAATAGATAATTAGATAGTTTTAGCTTATACACCCATTATACATAAAATGCACACGCGAAAACGTATTCTGCACTTGCGCACACTCATATGCGCAGTCGTAAAAGGTCTTACGCGCACGCGTAAACGCCTATGCGCATGTGTCAACGCGGCACATGCACAGAAAGTTTTTAGTTTTGAGGTCCGGATTATAGATCATTCCGAATTATGGGTGTCCGAATTAATGACTTTTGACTGTATAGTATACACTTCATCTCTAGCAATGAGCTATTTAAAAAAGAGGAGCTTCTTTCTTTATTTTTGGCAAAGAATTACATGCTGAAAATCGAGCAAGCAAATTCTGCTACATTAAAGTATGGGATCCCCATATATCATGGTGGCTTACATAATCAGTCTTAATATTTAATTCAAATTATATGCTGTATTTTTTGGAATATTTAGTCTCTCTGATAGTTCTTGAATGGCATAACATGGATTTTTAGTGATATCTTCTTTTATAAGGTTCTTGTTTGCAGGTCGTCCAGGTCAGGTCAAGTTTCTGCATTAAACTTCTCAAACTAGCTTTGAACTCTGTCATCAGAAATAGCACATTGCCATTATATGGAAGACATTTTATAAACAGTCTGGCTATCATTTTTTTTTCCCTTTTTGAAATAGAAGAACATGATATGATGAAAAAGAACTTTTGAGTTCCTCATTCATAGCACCACACCGGGGGGGGATGTGTCCTCGCACATGCTAGAATTGTAGAAGGGCTGTATTTAAACATCCACTTTGATCAAGGTCACTTTGTATCAGCAGTAAAAAGTAATTAGAAAAAAGTGTGCTTGAATTGAAAAACCACAGAACTTTTTAGATGGCCCAATAGTATATCTTGCTACTTACATATTAATGCAACCACTTTAGTGCAGTTTGGTGATTTTTTTGCGGATGAAAAAGAAAAAGGATGTAAATTATCATTCAGTTCAATTGTAAAACATTTCTTACATACATAAAGATATGTTATGCATATTTTATATTCTAATTAGATAGTTACACTAAGGTTTTTGTTTCATTTGTTCAGAGGAAATTTTGTGACAATTACTTTAAAAGCAGATTCCAAACATTTGTTCCCTTTAGTAATTTTGCTGTAAAATACTGTATCCTCGCAGAAGGGTCTTCTAGTGTTAGCAAATTCTACAAACAGATATTTTAAAATTGAGCTTGAGGCAATAAATATCGCAGTTTGTTTCTAAAACCATTGGAATTTTTAATACAACAAAAAGAAGGCATAAAAAAGGATGTCATTGCTTGATTGAAAGACTGTTATGAGCAGGGTTGCCAGAATTTGCTCCATTCGGAAAATTTGGTGGCTTCTGCTAAGGTGGTTGCAATAGTACCACCATAAGTACATATATCATATCAGAATGTATTTTTATAAAAATTGTCAAAGAGAGCATGTTACTAAAATCTAATTGGTTTTTACATTTAAGATTTTGATCCTTGTAATGAACTGATCCTTTTTTTTTATTATTTCTACACATAGTTATTCAATATTTTGTATATACAATATTTTATTTTTGTTATTTTTGTAAATATTATGGGGTCCTGGGGGGTCGCAAAAAAATCTTAATGATAAAAGGGGGTCGCGAGTGAAAAAAGTTAAAGAAACCTTGCTTTAGACTGACCAAGTATGTGCCAAAATGAGACGACAAAGAAATCAACGTAAAGCTAACTGTTAGTAAAACATAAATGTCACTTATCTTCTTTCAAATATGACAAACTATTATAAGTGTAAAATATTTAACGCTACTTGATAAATTGCGTAAAGTTTATTTTATTCTCAAACTTATTAATAGTTATGTTAATTCATGTTTAGTAATAATGCATACCACATAGGGATCTATTTTATTTTTAGGATGGTATTACAAAAGTGAAATTTAGGCATAGATAATATTTTGAATTGAATTTATTCAGTTCCCATTTGTTCATAGATCCTTAATTTTTTCATTAATGATTCTTAAAAGTCCTTAAAAGTAATTAATTTCCGTGTGCTGAAATGTGTACAAACCCTGTCTGAAAATTAAAAGCTTTTCTTCTTTAGCCAATACAATTCGTATTTTGTGTCAAACCTGTTTTACATATATTCCAGCAAGATGCACAACACTCGATCTTCTTATGTGCCTTATTTTTCTCTCACGGTTCGTTGCTTCCTACTTGAAGAATATCAGATGACACATTTGAACACTCAGGCAGGGAAGTAGTATTTTGAAATACCACCTTGGAAGATGTCAGCTTTGGCTTCTCAATATGTTCCAACATATTGGCAAAGAAGATACTAAGTTGGTATATAGGCAGCTTTTTCTTGAACATAGGCAAAACTACAGTATTTATATTCCTGTATTTACTGATGCCTCGAAAGCAGCTGGACATGTTGGTATGTCTTTCGTTATTGGAGACTACATGGTAGGCAGACGATTGCCTGAGGTTTACTCAGTCCTCACATAGGAATTAACTGCTATTTATTGTGTGCTGTCATTCATATCCAAGTTAAACCAGAGAAAGTTCTTAATATATACCGAGTGATTGGAAGCATTCTGTGATACTCAGAACCCTGTCCTAGTAGATACCCTGATTCTCAACCTAAAATTAAAGAACTGTGCATATGAGATCTTGTATTCTGGATACCTGGACATGTAGGCATAAGAGGTAACGAGCTAGCAGACACAACAGCAAAGTCTGCAATAGATTTGTTCAGTTGGCTTGTCCCTTCTGATGACATCAGCAGGTTCATCAAACAATTTTAGAGAAAAGGCAAAAACTCTGGGATGATCAGGATGATAATAAGCTAAGAATCGTAACACCTCAAGTTTAAATTTGGGAATGTAATAGAAATCGGAAGGAGAAACTCGTAGAACTATTCCGATTCAGAATGGGTCACTCCAGAATTACTCACAGCTTTTTTCTGAGGGGGGGGGAGAGTGAACCAGTTTTCCCAAAATGTAATGCATTTCTCTTCGTGCATCATTTTTTGAATTGAGTGTCCTTCTTTTAATAGACTTTAAAATGAAATATTTTGGTGATTGTGACCTGCCTCTTGACCGAATAATTTGGAAAGAGGTGAATACAAATTTATTTTGTTACCTGAAAGAGACAGGTTTTTTTTTATTATTTAATTTAATTTTGATTTAGGGTATTATGTTGATGTTTTAAAAGTTTGGTTTTTATTAAATTCATAACTTGTGTGTTTTATCCTTTCTGTTATAATTGACATTATTGTCTTAGTTTTATATATTTTCATCTGAATATGTCATTACTCTACATTTTTATTAAATTTTACAGTTCCATTTTGTTTTAAACTGGTAATACTTATGTGTTTTTATGTTTGACTTGTGTTTAGCGCATCATAACCTTTCAGTTTTTGCACTAATAGATCCACTACCAACACCAGCAAGATACACATAATGGTAGTTTATTGTTACATTACTTGTATTATGGTACTTTTATCTATAAGATGTGTATGTTTCATCCTTTATTATTGTTTTCTTTGGTCTTTTGGGTTTTAGTAACTTCTGTAAATTTCAGTAAGATTGAAAAAGGTTGCAGAAATTTCTGTGTGAGCATGGAAAAAAGTGTCTGTCTATTCTTGGGAATGCAGAAAACAATTACAAGTGAATTTTAATCATGATGTGTATTTCAGGAGTGTAGAAACATAAAACTACTGGTTTAGATTTTCATAAATGTAGGCGATGTAGAAAGCTTTAGCAGAAGACATGAAAAATGAGCAATGCCCTCACCGGGACGCAAACCTCGGACCTCTCGAATATGCACTGAGAAGGCTGAACATTACACCACGAAGGCATGCTAAGAAAGGGGGAGAAATACCTTATATACCCCCCCTTTGAAAGGGCGACTGGGGATTAGGGGACCAAATCGTCAAATTCTGGTGGTGGAGAATCAACATTCACACACTTTTTTTGTTCATGCACCATTGTAGAGACATTATGTATTTGGCATGGAGCACAATAGACTGAAAAAGTGCAGGCAGGGACCAGAAACCACGGACCTTTCGTATGTGCGAGGTGCTGACTATTACACACTACGAAGGCATGCTAAGGTGGAGGTTACCTTAATACTTATTGCAGAAAACCTGATTAAAAAGTATTGTAAATAATTCATTTTTCTAATAATTATTATTGAAACTATTGCTATGCCGTCTTATTCTTTAATAAATTGCTGAATTTTAAAGTATTATTAACAATGAACTATTTTAATGAAAAATGTGGAATTGTTTTTAATTGCATTCTGGATCTTTGCATAAAAATAAATAAGTGAAAAATTCCAGGTTAATTTTTCAATGATATCCACTTAAAAGAATATTAATAGCAATAGATATATTTATAAGCATAAAACATGTTTTATTTTTGGAGAAAAGGCCCGGAGTTTATATTTTAAAGTTTGATAATCTTCAGAAATTTAAAAAAAAAAAAAAACTGAAAGTAATAAACACTCAATATAATTGCTAAATTGTCCACTGAATACAGGTTAAAAATGTCTTAGTTTTTAAAATTAATAACTTATCAGCAAGAAATTAAGTTAGACTAAACTCTCAACTAAAAGATGATTATCTTTTTGCAGTCTTTAGTTTGTATCAACCAGATGATACAATATTATCAGAACATTTTTGAAAAATCAACCTAAGGATCTTGAAAATGTATTTTTAGGGTACTTCTTAAATAAGACTGAGTTAAAAAAAAAAAAAAAAATATTGATTTAACTAGAAAAATTTGTCATTTAAGGCTTGGAAGGTACTAGCATTATGTCTCCTATTTTCTTCAAGTTATTTTCGCAGTTTCAACTTCTGTTTACATAAAAATTCTTATTGGACATTGTCATCAGATATTCACAAAGGGGTGAATGAGGAGTCTGGAATTTGCTTCAAGTTTCCATTCTTAATTAAAAAATTGTATTAGTATTTTTTTTCTCCCTGTTATTTGTTTGTAACCCTGCTAGGCTTTCTTAGATTCATCCACATTTTCTTTGATGTGGCTCTTTCTCTTGATGGGCCATTTATGTAAATTTTTTAAATCTCCGTGTGTGTCAAACTGTTTAAGGAATGATAATTTTGTATAATTTACACTGTTTTCACAAACTCCTGGTTATGATACATCAGATTATGTGCATATATGCATAGCATATTTTTTAATAACAAAGCTCCACCATCTTGGTTAACTGAGACCATGACCTAACCAGATAATCTAAAAGACTTCACTTTTTTTTTTTTTTTTTTTTTTTTTGAATCTTTAAACCAAATAAACTCTAAGGGAATTTTTTCATATCTGGTTTTCTGGTTTTATTTCAGTGAGATTTTATTCAGTAAGAAACATGTTAAATTTTTATAAACAAGAAAGAATGAGCACTTTGAGAATAAGAATTCTCATGCAAAAATTAATTTTATATACACTATAAGGAACAGAAAATTAATTGATTGCTGTTACACTGTACCTTATTAGACCGTTTCTTTGAGAAATTAGAAATACATTTTTGGATTGTTTAGTCTGTTTATAGAAAAGTACTTGTTACGGTTAAGCCATGATGGGATGTATTGTTTGTTGCTTTAACTGAGACTGTGAGAGTTTTAGCTCATACTGGAGTGTAAAAACTACTGCCTAATGCAGAATGGAAAGAGTGAACACTGTTGCCTGGTTTCCCTTCTTTTAATTGTTAGGTTGAATAATCCCATTTAGTAAAACAAAAAACAAAAAAAAATTATCTGTAAGTCCCACCTAAAAAAATTGCGTGTGTAATCATTTATAATGATTGTGTTGTGTGAACCAATAAATATGACATGTATACTAATTTACATTAATTTAATAATTTCTTAAAATATAAACTATATGTTTTATTCTTTTATATAATATTTAAATCAATGAAAGAGTTAACATGTAAGTATATTAACAGCAAGCTTAATTTTAAATACCCCAAAGTGAAAAGCAAGTAATCTAGATAATAGGAATTCTGAATAATTGTATATCTATATTTTAAGCTATCATATTTATGTATACATTTTAATATTTTGCTGTTATAATTACTGTATCTTTGCAGTTCATATGAGAAAACATACTGGAGAAAAACCCTATTGTTGTTCAAAGTGTTCTTCAAGATTTTCAACAAAAGGAAATTTAAAAAGGCATTTGAAAACACACAGTGGGGAAAAACCATGGCAGTGTAATCGATGTGGTGGTCGTTTTACTGAAAAAAAAAGCTTAAATGTACATATGAGGCGTCACACAGGGGAAAAACCTTATCAGTAAGTACAAATTTTGCAATAAGTTTTTAAATTAATCAAAATTTATAAGATTAGCTTTTTTATTTTTAAGATATAATTAAAGTAATTTTATAAAAGATTTTGTTCTTTATAAGTAACATCTAAATTTGCATTATGTTTTTTTGTGTCTCTATAAAAATCATGTGTAAAAAAATAAAAGCCCAAATCTGTATCCTTAATGGTAAAAATTTATTATTTTGAAATTAGTTTTAATAAAGGTAAGCATTTAATTTTGGGATTCTTGTATACCTTTTAGTATGCAAATTTGTGTCTTGTTAGAGATATATATTTGTAGGATTTTTGAAAAAATTAACGGTGGGAGTAAAAAATGCCAGTAGGAAATTTATCAAAATCAAATACAGTCAAAAGTCATTAATCCGGACTCGTCGGGACTTCGGCGATTCCAGATTATCGATTTTTCCGGATTATAGATCATCAGTTTAAATCTCGTAAGATGGCATGCAGAAATTCTTAAAAAAAAAAAAAAAAAAAAAACTGAAATTTTCCAGATTTTAAATTACGTCCAAAGGGGCGTTTTTTTTAACGTTTTGAGTGTTACCTTTATTTATTAAATATCATGTTCTTTGCACTTAAACCATAAAATTCAGTTCAAGAGCAATATCGCAAAATAATGTTTAAATTAAGCATATCTTTAGAATTTCCGATATAACAAGTCTCGCGAGCTGGAGATAAAAGTATTTTTTTTCTATATAACGTTGCCATTTCTCGCTTTTAAAGCATTGAGTTTGTAAATCAAAAATTCGTTAAAGTTTTACAAAATATAAATCTATAATAAAACAAATTCCAAATTTGGGATTTCAGATGCCCATATTCGCAGTAGGATTTCGTCATTCAAAATTCGATGGCTCTATGTACCATTGTTTTATCACAATGCGAGAAATAAACAATCATTTATGCAGATTTTTCATTATTTAATTTCTTCAAATATAATGCAGGACTCTAACATTTTGTGGCAACAGTTTGAAAAGTGAACCGACGTTTATGAGTCCGACGCAAAATTCCAAAACGAAAGCAATAGTCCTTCGAGACTGAAATCCCTTTGGACTAAAAATATGAAACCGTAATTTAGGAAATAAAGAACAATTATGATCTAAAGGGTATCAAAATTTGCAAAAAGAAAAAGCTTAATATTTATTTGTTTACTTTATTAAACATTTCTTTCAATGTAAGTTGTTTAAGTTGCTTCGTTTCATGTGATAATACTTTCTCTTTAATTCTATTAAACAGACATAATTTCTTGTTTAGTTACAAAGTTACGCTGTTCAAGTCCTATAATTGCTGTGTCGAGAACACCGACTAATTTGTCAATCAAAATTTTTTCGTTTTCACTAACCTCTGTCACTTTCTTCGCTATCGGAAGCGAATTATAATGACGAGGAACTTGTTTTAAATCATATCAAAGACAGAGCACATCGAGATGAAATACTAATTTGGTAAGGAATTATAAGCCAAATAAAATAAAAACATCTGCCCTGAAGATAAGGATAGTGCTGACAGATCAACTTCCAATTCATTACGCGCCGGCTGCGGCGTTCCCCCCGCCGAGCAGCGTGAAATTGATAAACAGATTTCAGATTTCAAAACATACTTTCGCTTTATATCCTTTATGTATTAACAAATATATATCGGAAATTCTATTTGATATAATCGAAAGTTTAAGCTTACTTTTATAAAATTGCATTACAGTCTGCAAAAAATAATAAGCCGGATCCAATTCGAAAATTAAGGAACAACGCAATCATCAACATTAACTGAAATAAGATAATTAGATAATTTTAGCTTATACGTCCATTATATACATAAAACGTGCACGCGAAACGTATTCTGCACTTGCGCACACTCATAGCGCAGTCGTAAAAAAGGTCTTACGAAACGCGTAAACCTATGCGCATGTCAAACGCGGCGCATGCGCGCAGAAGTTTTTTAGTTGAGGTCCGGATTATAGATCATTCCGAATTATGGGTGTCCAAATTAACGACTTTTGACTGTACTTCAAATTGAGTTTAGCAGGATAAGATAGAAACATGAACTAAATACTAAAGTGAGAGCATTCTAGAATTATTTTGATATATTTGTATTTTTCCATTATCAGTTAGGAACTTTTTTTTTCTTTTCTTCAAATGGCTACACATTTCCTCAAGTATTTATTGGGAATAGCTGAATCCTTTGGTCATTTAACCATCATCTTAGAGTTCTGCCAAGGTGAAACACAAGGGTTGGACTGATAATGCGAAAAAGGAGACATGTGCAAACATTGAAACCTTATGAGGGATTCAAACTTACATCCTAAAACTTAAACTTGCAGTCAAGCTTTACTAATTATTGTAACATCTGAAGTGGCACCAGCTAGGAGTTATTTGAATTAATTTTTCTAATATTGAAATAAGTATTCAGTTTTTTCTAGAAGGAATAAATACTTGTTTTATTAATATGAGTGGTAATCAATTGAGTACTTATGTATTATCCTGTTGATCATGAAATTTGGTGGAGATTAATCATTCCTGTTGAATTCTGAAGGAACTGATGCCTCTTCATTTAATAAAAAAAAAATATATCTTACTGGAAAATCTGTTAGAGCACTATGAGTACAAGCTTTCTATAGGTAGTTCTTCCAGTTGTCAGCCATATTCAGTGTCACCATATCATGTCCATTAAAACGCACCCTTTTTTATGGTAGAATCTCATTAACGCTGAAAATAAACCACTGCTTGCTGTTTTGTTTAAGGCAAATCCCAAATTTTAATCTTCCCCCCCCCAAAAAAAAGAAATTTTTAGGAGTAACTGTTTATTTATATCTTTTTCATAAAAACAAAATGTGCCTTATTGAGAACCAATTGCAATTGATAAAATGATAGGGCAGATGTTATGAGTGTTGTTATGTCACATTTATCCACAACTGGCTCTAAATCATGCTGCTTGGTATCAGTTTCATTTTTGATTGGATAATACACAAGTACCATCTTTTTAAATTTATGTAAATCTAATAAATACATCAATGTTGTAGATAAGTTATCAGTTTAACTTAGATAAGTAAATTGGAAATTTACAAAGTCTTCTAGTCCTTATTAAGGTCACTTGATTGATAATGCAGAGATACCTTCACCAGACTAGAACAGAAATACCCAAGGCTTTTGGTTCCATATCATTTCTTAAGTACAAAAGACAACAGTGACAAATAAACAGCACCTTTTACTAACTAAACAATGAAGTGACCCATTTCTGTGCAAAATTGTCATTGGTAACGAAAAATGAATGGTGTATTAAAATCTGGAATGCTGCATTTAATAGCTTTTTTCTCAATAATTCAGCTATATTTAAACATACTTATACTGAGCTTAACATTGAAAAAGGAATTCTTTTGATAGTTTTGATGGAATAGTATTAGCAAAATTTATTCTGTGTCTAAAACTGTGGAAAGATTACCACTGATATTTGTTGTTTGTAATTGGAGTGATTTAAAGTTTTCTACTTTCAGGGGCCGTTTCTCAGTTTACTTATCTCGGTACTATATTATCTCTAATGATAATAATATTTAACTTGAAATTGACAATAGATTATTTAGAGCTAATACAGTCAAAAGTCGTTAAGCCGGACTTGTCGGGACTTCGGCGATTCCGGATTATAGATCATCAGTTTAAATCTGGTAAGATGGCATGCAGAAATTACAAAATTAAAAATATGAAACCGTAATTTATGAAATAAAGAACAATTATGATCTAAAGGGTATCAAAATTTACAAAAAGAAAAAGCTTAATATTTATTTGTTTACTTTATTAAACATTTCTTTCAATGTAAGTTGCTTCGTTTCATGTGATAATACTTTGTCTTAATTCTATTAAACAGAACATAATTTCTTGTTTTAGAGTTACAAAGTTCCGCTGTTCAGTCTATCTTTCGTAATAATGCCAACAATTTGCAAGACGAGTCTTTAAAGAAACTTCGATTCAATTATTTAATGTTGAATTGAAATAATTTTTGTCAATCGAAATAAAGTCAATCCACTTTAACAGCACAATTAACTGTGACCAGGAAATACCGACTCATTGAAAAACAACCGAGAATGTTTTAGTAAAGAAATAATGGATTGCTTCAGGATAAGCGAATTAAAGACGAGGAACATGATTTAAATCTATCAAAGACGAGAGTACATCGAGATGAATACTACACTTAGTAAGGAATTATAAGCCAAATAAAATAAAAACATCTGCCCTGAAGATAAGGATAGTGCTGACAGATCAACTTCCAATCCGCAGCGTGAAATTGATAAACAGATTTCGGATTTCAAAACATACTTTCGCTTTGTAGATAGAAATAACATATTAGTAAATATATATCGGAAATTCTATTTGACATAATCGAAAGTTCAAGCTTACTTTTATGAAATTGCTCTAACAGTCTGCAAAAAATAATAAGCCGGATCCAATTCGAAGATTAAGGAACAACGCAATCTGCAACATTAACTGAATTAGATAATTTTAGCTTAGCTTATACCTTTGTTACACATTAAACACACATGCGCACAAACATATTCGCAGCCGTAAAGGTCTTACGCGTACTCTTAAATGCCTGTGCGCATGCGTGAACGCGACGCGTACGCAGAAAGTTTGTAGCTTTGAGGTCCGGATTATAGATCATTCCGGATTATAGGTGTTGGAATTAATGACTTTTGACTGTATATGTTATTATACTGTTTAAAGAATTTTTTAGCATCTAAATTATTAAACTTAAAGACAAAAATAAATCTTTATAAAACTCTTCTTACACTTATCATATAAGGCAGTGAACGTTGGCCCCTAACAAAAACGGATGAAGAGAGACTTGATTTTGAAAGACTTATTTTTGAAAGAAAAATACTGTGAAAAATATATGGCCCAATTAGAGAAAATATTAGATGAGGAATTTTGTTTAACTATGAAATATATAGAAGATACAAACAATCTAATATTGTCCAAGTCATTAAATCTTATCGTTTGAGGTGGCTCGGACATATTTTTAGATGGGTAACTTGAACCCTATTAAAAATGGTTTGGTTTGATTTATTTAATTATGGCAAAGCACACTAGGGTTATCTGCCTAATGGAAGGGACGCCTTCATGGAGGACTTTCTAAGGGAAACTGGCTCGTATATATGTTACACATGGGGAAAACCACGAAAACGCCCATGCAGCCAGCTCGTTCACGGGATTCGAACCTCGGACCGAACTACCAGTGTTTCAGCGACTTTACCACTCGGCCGCTGTTGGGCCTCCTATTAAAAATGACCTTTGCAGATGTAGAAGGTACCAGGAAAAGAGGAAGACTTCGCACAAGATGGATAGACTGTGTGGAGGCAGATCTCAGGACTCTAAATATCAGTTGTTGACGGACCTTAGTGACTAATCGGAACCATTGGAGGAAGCTTGTTGAGATGGCCTTAGCCTGTGATAGGCTGTAGTGTAACTGAAGAAGAATCAGAAAGGGTATACAACAAACATTGCAGCAGAAGTTCAAAATGCATTCCTGCAGCTGAAGAAGAACATTGTAAATTAAAATCTTCAAAACTAATTCTGCAAATATACAAGCTCCAACTATTAATTTCCAGGACTCGCGGAATAACTCAGAAGAAAAAAGGGTTAAACACATAGCCATTTAATATGATTCAAAGTAATCCCCATCAGCTGTAATGCACATCTGTGCTCGGCTGTACAAATTTCGAAAAGAAGTTTTAAAGTCCTCTTTTGGAATGCTCTTTAAGAGCGACGTTACAGTTTTCTTGATGGCTTCGACATCCTGAAGTTTTGTTCCCTTCAGTGAATTTTTCAGCTTAGAAAACAGGAAAAAGTCTGCGGGTGTTAGTTTTGGAGAGTATGGTGGATGCTGCATTTCAACGTCACCATTCTGGGCTAAGAATCGCCTCACAGGCAACATAGTGTGTGGGCGAGCATTGTCATGTAGCAGCAGCCAACTCCCATTTTGTTGAAAATGAGGCCTCACTCTACAAATTCGTTTTCGGAGTTGGTCATGAACTTTGTATAGAACTGTCCATTGATAGTCATGTTAGGAAAAAGAAATTCACGATGAATGAGTCCATCGCAATCAAAAGAAAGTGATTAACATGACCTTGATTTTGGACTTTTCAAATCAAAATTTTTTCTGCCTTAGTGAACTTGGAGACCGCCATTCAGAGCTTTGATGTTTGGTTTCAGGGTCATATTGATAACACCAATACTTGTCTCCCATTACTATCCTATCCAGGAATGCAGGGTCAGCATCAGCGTTGTCGTTAAGTTCGCCACATGCGTCCAGTCTCAATTGCTTTTGTTCGTCCCTTAAATGGTGAGGAATGAATCTGAATAAATCTTGCATTTGCCTAGGTCTTGCATCAAAATTCGCCGAACCATCTCTTTGTCCATGTTTAATTCATTGCCGAGTACTCGAATAGTCAATCGATGATCATATTTCACCATATTTCAAACTTTTTCAATTGCTTCCAGCGTGCATACGGTCTGTGTGTGGATCATCTTCGATGCTTTCGTGCCTGTCCCGAAAGGGTTTAAACCATTCAAAAGTTCTTGAGCGGGCTAATGCTTCCTCGTTGTAAACTTGTTTTAACATTTCGCAGGTTTCGGCAGTTGTCTTGCCCAATTTGAAGCAAAATTTAATGTTAATTCTTTGCTTCATTTTCACTTCGACAATAGGAATTTAAGAGCTACATTTTAATGCACCTTCCCACGAGAACCACTTACTTCAGAATGGTCCCGATTGCACTGCACATGCGCAAAAAAATACTCTTCAATATGCAATCATTAGCACCATCTTTCGAATTTTTGTTCTCCTACAGTTACATCAGTCCTGGAAATTAATAGCCAGACCTTGTATGAATATTGTGCTAATTCTTGTTGGTTTGATTCCTCCGATAATAGTTATTTAGTGTGTTATTTTAATTCAAATAGTGAAATGGTAAATATTGGAAACATGATTGTACCAGTATATGTAGGTTTTGCATGAATAGCCCTTGAACAAATAAAGGCTGTATCATATAAATCTGATTATTTTGAGATTTAGAACTTGAATAAATATTTGTTATTTGAAGTGTAACTCAGATTTTTATTATTTTTCAAAACTCAGATTATTATTTGTATTTTTCAAACTTATTATTTTTCAAAACTTTCAGTGCCACTTATTATAGCAATCTCATTCCTCCTTTCAACCTGTTATTTTTCTGAACAAATTAGTTTTCAAAAGTTCTCTGCCATTTGCACAACACTCCTTGTTACTCTGATTTTGCTAGATTTGCTGATTTGCTTGATATATACTTGAAATTTTAAGTCTGGAGAAGTGTCAGGTATTGACTGTCTCTTCCTTTAGAAATTACACAGTTGGAAAATATTTGCTGAAGTATTGTCATGGATTTTTTTCGCAAAATGTAATAGTGCCCTGTCTTGCTGAAACATATCTTTTTGGGATTTACAGTATTGTCAACGTATATTACTGAAAGAAATTGACAAATTCTGTAGATGACATTTGAAAAAAGAGTTAAAAATTAAATTATTAAAAATTAATTATTAATTATTAAAAATTCCTAAAGAGAAGAATAATACTGTCTTACTGAATGGTGTTGTATGCCCTTTGTTTTGCAACCTGTAAATATTTTAGTTACGTTTCATGGAGTTGGTTTTAGTGGCAAAATTATCAGATTCCCATGGATAACTGTATGGAAAAATAAATATAAACTTGATTACCTTACATGAATTCTAGCTGCTTTTTTTTTTTATTTTAATTGCTAAAAATGTTTCTGTAAGTATATCAAAGAGCATTGTGTAATCGGTGTTGAAATTCAGATGTATCCTGTTATTAGTTTCAGTAGAACTAGGTCTAGATGTTGTGATATAAAATAGGATTAGATATGTTTTTCAATAGCCAAATAAAAGGGAATTCACAGCTATACTTGAAATGCATCAAGTAATTTTTAATTCTAAAATTAGGAAAACTGTCATTATTTATCAGAGAAAAGATGCATTCTACAAATTTATTACTAGTTTCCTCTTAAAAAAGTATATTCAGTTATATATTTTCTTAAATCAAAAATTTCTTTCTTGAGAATGTTTTAATAAAGAATTTAAATTAAGTTTAAGTTTAAAATTTTTAATTTCCTATTGCTTAATGAAGCTAAAATTGAGAAACAGTAACATTTTAAAAAATGTCCTTTATATTTTTTTTAAACTTCATATTCAGTTATATAAATAAGCATGACTGCAATAAAATGAATGTGTAGCTAACATCCTGATAGATCAAATGGGAAGAGAGACAGTGAAAAAAGTTGTCTATAGATGGTACATAAATTATTAGTGCTGTAGATGAACAGCCTAAGAAATGTCTTTTTATTAATTATTTTAATAATGTAAATATTTTCAAGTTATGGGATAAATATTTGCAATGACCAGTTAAATATATAAAACCACTTAGATGTTTCAAAGTATTTAACTTCCCATTAGTATTGTTACTCCCAGTTTTGGAGACATGTGTATGCTTATTGTACACATTTCCCTAAACTGATTGAAAGATGTATATATTAATGTACATATTTATTTATTAAATAATATTGATTAATTGATTATATTATCTCCTAAGTTTAATTAAAGTAGAATTATCTTAAAAGACCGAATCCATACTAGTAAATTATATTTTGAAAGATGTTTTGAAGTAACTTGAAAGTAAAATGTTAATAATGTTTTAACTGGGACTGGAATTAAATCATCATGAAGAACAAAATTTCAATTGTAAAAGGAATAAAATAAAGACAAGAATTAAATTAAATGCATGTAATCATTGTCAATGATCGGAAATTAGTCTACTTTTCAAGGAGAACAAACCAACTCCCGTTCAATGAACAATAATTAATAAATAAATACGAAGATGTTTCGTCTTTACTCGAGCAATAAGGCTAAGCCAAACCGGCAATTTAAGTCAGGCCAAATATTTCCGTGAATAGAAGGGATTATGAACCAATGCTGATATTCAAAGAACTTATTCCTATGAAGCATTTTAGCCAATTCAATTTTGAGTGAAAAGCAATTTCTGCAGTGAATTTCGAAAGTACATATTTGTTATATACAATATGTATATGTAATGTGTATATTTTAATCATTTTTCAACCTTGCTTCAAAGTATTTTTCATATATTAGTGGGAAAAATTAAAATTTCATGTTAGAAAGGTATTTAGCAATTTGTATAAAATTCAACTTTAAATTATAGCTACACAAATTAATATTATGTTTTAAATAATACATAAGAATTTTTAGAAAATATTTTAAAATTCACTAATACAAAATATTCTGATATAAAATTATAGTGTTTATTTTCAAATTCAAGGGATTAAAAAAGGGTTATTTTATGACATGTTTTTTCTTGGTTATTAATTTTTTGTTTGTGTTGTTTGAGGGTAAAGATTATAATACTCTTCACGCTGCATGATGATATGTAAAAGATTTTAATTATAAAAGAATTTTATCTTTTCCTTCTAATTTTATGTTTATTAATTCTTTTACCAAAGGAATGAAAATCTAATGTCGTAACATTTTTGATAATTAGACTAAAAAGTTCTGAAAGTTTTTATAAGAATGAAAATCACAGTGCTATTGTCATGTAAATGTTAGTATTTGCAATGGAAGATCTATTAGATTTTGTTGTATTCAATTTCGTTAATTTTTAACTTTTTTTTTTCTTCCATTTAGATATTATATAAACAGAGTACTTCAATTATATGAACATAGTTAATTTACGTATATAAATTCCACAAGCATGTACAGTTGCCATATTTTATCCATCACTTGTTGTGTAATTTTTCATTTTTTAAGTAAAGCATGATATGTACATGCGTATGTATGTATGTTGCTGTCTCACTATCTTTTATTTTATTAATTGAAAAGATGCAAAATGTGTGGGAAAAAGTTTGCTCAAACTGGTGTCCTTCAAACACATATGGCTATGCATTTAGACCAAAAGGTACATCTCTGTGAACGTTGTGGGAAAGCCTTTCGTCAGAAGTCTCAGTTGCGTTTACACAAACTTCGTCATGATAATATACGAAAATACAATTGTGTTAATTGTCCTGCTAATTTCTTAACAAAAGGTAAGACATTAATGATTTAAAATAAATTAGCATGAATTATTAATTAACAAAGATTATTCCTGTATGATTTTTATTATTTGTATATCTTTATTGAGAAATTTAAGGCTAATTTTTTATGTTTTGTTGCTTATCTACAAACATGAGTTACTTTGACTAAAATATAAAAATTTCATTAGTTGTATACATTTCTATCTCTTTTTGCATATATATTCAATTGTAAAAATCCAAGCGTTGACTACTAAGATCTTTCAATTTTGACTGCAAAATATTAGGATGCCCGGAAAGTAATTTTGTTCATTTTCAACAGAGGGCTTAAGTACATTTTTTCACAGAAACTTTACACTTAAGCTGCGTGATCGTTATATATTTTGACAGCTGTTATAGCAAGGCTTGCTTGTGAAAAGTTCGATTGATTCTACACTTTAGTTTTTGGTTGGTGCTGCTTCAAATATGGAAGGTGAAAAGCAGCATTTTCGGCATATTTTACTTTGGTACTATCAAAAAGGTAAAAATGCTGTTCAAGCAAGAAAAAATTATTCAATGTGTATGGAGAAGAAGTATTGACGGAACATCAGTGACAAAAGTGGTTTGCAAAATTTTGTGATCTGGCAGTTTTGACCTTGAAGATGCACCACATTCTGGAAAGCCTTTAAAGCTGATGAGTTAATGCGAGATACGTACGTACGCACGTACATACATTCGTACAGACGCCACAAAAATTCTCTTCAGAATTCATTTTAAAGCAGTTTTATAATTTTTTTGGAGGAAAAGAGTGTTTTATTCTGTCCTTACATACAGATATCACGGAAATACATCGTTAAATTGCATTTGAAAGAGGTCAAAATGGGATATTTTCATTGAAATATGCTGCCGGAAACTTTTCGCGATTACAATACTTCCTTTTTACTTCGTACAAGGAAGTAAAAACATTGGAACTTGGAATACAATACAAAGAATGCACATGAAAATGGTGACATTGCTTGATTGAAGGATTGTTTTCAGCATGGTTTTCAGATTTTGGTGCATTCTGAAAATCTGGAGGCTTCTAGTAAGGTGAATGCAATAATTTGTGAATTTACAGAAGTACCAAAATACTTCTGTAAATTCTAAGGGATAAGTATTTTTGTGATGAGTGCACAGTTTCATTTTATAGTGAATTATGTTATTGGATTAAAATGTCTATTTAGTGTGCTTCATTACATATTTATAAGAATTTTTCTGATTAATATCAGGAAATAATACAGGATTAGGACTGGAAAATCTGTAACAATTTTTAATATTAGCTTTGTTTTTTAAATATCAAATATAGTATTTACTTTGTTGTGGAACTTCCTACAAAATTAAATATTTTATCACAAAATAACTTAATAATTCATACACTTCATCCTTATCTAACCTAGGAATCAAGGTTACTAACTTAGGAATCTGATTAACGAATTGTACTGTGTTCCTCAGATTTCATAGAAGTGTTTGGTCATCCTGTGTTATTTTGATCATAAAATACATAAATTCTGAATACTTGCAATAACGTAGGGAAATCTTAGATCTGAGTCAGTAATGCAAGATTTAAAAAGTTGTGATTTTTTGCTGTGTGATTTAATTTTTAGGTTTTTAGTAAAAATTGTATTCCTTTATAATATCCTTATCAATGTTGAATTTGTCTTCTTATAATAATTTATTTTATGAATTTTACAGGTGATTTAGAAAGACATGCTCGAACACACACTGGTGAAAGGCCTTTTGTATGTGATGTTTGTTCTAGAACATTCACTAGACAGCAATCTTTGAATGAACATATGAATAGGCATTATGGACTTAAACCATATGAGTGTAAATATTGTGGCAAAACTTTTGCTGAAATGTCAGCATGTTATAAGGTAGACATTTTCTTGTACATATTTTCATTTTTGTTTTATCACAAAATAAATGTTTTAGTAAAAATATGTTTGGTTAATGATATATATGAAATAAAATGTATTTATTTTTGCATATTAAATGAATATGTAATAATGAATAAATATGCAGGTAAATAGTATGTATTCTAAGGGATAAGAATACATACTATTTACCTGCATATTTATATTATAATGTATTATATTTATTATATTTAATATAACAAAGCAAGTAAGTTTTTCTGCTTGCATTGAAATACATGGAGCAGCAGGAGGAAACTTCATCAGTGAAGGTTTTACTTCTGCAGAGACTGAAATCTGGCTGAAGAAAATGTCAAATAACTGGCAAATAAAAGCCAGTTACCAACTTTTTTTTTTTAAATCAATTTTGATTTTTACTTGTGGTACATGCAGTATAAATTTGTAGTTACTACAATTTGTAGTTACTAATTTGAAGTTACTACTATGTAATTTTTGAAATAATGAATGTATTCTGTCAATTTTAAATGTTGTATTTGGTACTTTCCACATCATCCGACCTTCCTGAACTGGTTGGATCATCGGAACCCTACTGTACATAGCAGTACAGTTCAACATCCAATATCCGAAATGATCTAATATCCAGGCCACCAGCAAAAATATTTTATGAGATTTTTCTTTCCCTGCCAAAAGTATAGGAATAGAGAAATAATACTCAAGGAAGAGAATGCTGTAAAAGGGATTTTTCTCTTGATTAAATGAGCTTCTTGTATGTAACTTTTGAACACTTGTTGATTAGGAAAACTCACCATGGCAAATGACAATACATTTAATGTATATTGACACTAGCCACACACTTTGGGCTGGGCTCTTGAGTGTTTGTAGGGGGTTAGCATTTTTCTGCCTGACTTAAAAAATAAGTGAAGCACCAAAGTTTTTTTTGGGGGGAGGGGAGAATGGGATGATGCTCATACTGCTTTTCTTTCCTTTGCTTAGCAGTGAGGAGATGCAAATTTCACAGTTAACATGACAAATTGTGCTTTTCTTCAACTTCCTGATTTGGTCTATATTATTATTGTTTGCAGGCTATCAATATTACAGCCACCTTATCAAAATTAAAGTTTGAATCCTCAATTATTTGAAAAGAGTTTCTTATTCTGGAAGTATAGCGGGGTGTGCAAAGCGAAAGCATGTTTCAGTGTCAAAAAGTAGAATTGCTGCCAAAAATGGATAAAGGTCTATCCTCCTCAGAATTATGCAAGGAGTAAGGCACTGGAACATCAGCACTGTATGACATTAAAAAGAGAATTTTTTTTAAATCTAAATACCCCACTCACAATGAATAACAGAAATATCATTCACTATGTTAAAAGTGGTGATCATGACAAAGTGATGATTCAGTGGATGAGACAGTATTGCTGTGAGGACATGCCATTGACAGCTCCATTGCTAATGGTTCAAACCAAAATATTTCTTGAGGAAATTGATTTGAAAACTAAGTGAATCTATTCAACATGTTGGTTTACCAAATTTAAAAACTGCCATAGCAGTTAAAAATTTCAGGCGAAAAACGCTTCAGCTGAAGCAAATGAAATGATTGCAGATGAAGTCATTGACCTTATTTATAGTAAAAAAAATATATCCTGAACAAATTTATAACATTTAAAAAAACTGGCTTTTTCTGGCAATATATGCACCAAAATACCATGGCAGTGTATAAAGAAAAGGTACTTATTGGTGTCAAAAGATTCCAAAGGAAAATTAATGATTTTGGTATGTGCAAAATTTATTATATGCAAGACACATACAAATCTGAACTTTTTGTAATTGGAAAAATACTCAATCTCAGGCATTTAAAAAATAAAGATTTTCCGAGTCATCCACCTTTCCAATGAAAGAGCATTGATCACAGAGACATTGAGTGATTAGTTTGAAAACGAGGCTTAGCACCATTTGAAATCAGTTGATTTACTGGATAATGTAAAAATTTTCCTTATTATAGACAAATCTTTGGCTTGTACTTCACATAAAGTTTTAGTAAAAGATAATTTTTTCTTACTCTTTCCTCCAAATTTTATATTTATCATTCAGCTGGTCGATGTTGGAGTGTTATGCATGCTGAAATACAGATATAAAGTAATTTTTAAGTCAAAGCTTGTCTACATTAAATTTTATGAATAGTGGAGAACCTATTCGGGAATTTAAAAAATATTTTAACATAAAATTTGCTGTGTGGAGTAATGCAAGGTCATCGGAAGATGTGCCTGCAGATATTTAAAAAAATGCTTCGCATAATTTGTAGCCATCTACCGTCGTATTTCATAGTGATGATGATAAAGATAGCTGCAAATCTGAAGGATTTCAGATATCAAAAGCAAAAGACAGAATTTTCCAATTAATGGAATTTGTAGAGAAGGTATTAAAAATGAAGGTGAAGTTTTTTATTGTGATGACAATCTCCCAGTCAACATTCATCTTATGGATGACAAAATCTGTAGTATAGTTTTAAATCCAGAAAATGTTGCTGCCAATTGTGAAGAAAGTGGCAAAGAGTTAGTTAGGAATGAAAAGAATTTTGATCGATTTAAAAATTTTCAATGAAAAGAATTTTGATTGATTAGTGGGAATTTCCAGCAAGGCTACAAGACCCTGAACAATGAAACATTGTAACTGAAAATATATATGTTACGGTGAAACACCAAAATCTGGAGAATGTCAACTTTCACCGGTGAATGTCAACATTCACATAGTCTCTTGGTGTATGTCCGAAATATTTTCCAAATACTCTTATTTCTGACTTACACCGGTCAGTGTCGACATTCACTATGTACTAATGGTGGATGTTGAACATATAACAATATTATATTTTCTTCTCCGTAATTCAGTCGCGAATAAACGCACTTGAGACTTGAAATAAGAACTTAAGAACATGAGAACCTAAAACACACAATACATTCAAAAGGAGAAAGGAAAATATTAGAAGTTAAAAACTTACTTAATTATACAGTACGTTCTAAATGAGAAAATAAAATAACAGTCATAAAAAACTTACTAAATTATGTGATTCAAATCTTATTTATTGCAACAACTTAAACTATTAAGGCACTTTATATGACCTCTCTTTTCGTCTTACACCAGAGCATATCTGTGATTGTCGACATACACCGGTGAGGATCCGAATATACAAGAATGTAGTGCAATATTCGATCTTTCACCAACGTATTTGGTGAATGTTAACATTCTCCGGTGAAAATCCACATTCTCCAATTTCGGTCTTTCACGGTAGCATATATATGTAGCTATGAAATTAATGAGAAAATATTAGGGAGGGTGAAAAAACAGCTTAAACAATTTATATTGCAGAGTTGCCAACTCTCCCGATTTAGGCGGGAGACTCCCGATTTTCGACCTATCTCCCGCCAACCCGATTTACATTATATTTCTCCCGACTTTTTCTTATTCTTAAAATTTCTCACGATTTTTATGGAACTTGGCTTAATACTTTGTTATATGAACAAAAAAAGTGATTTTGGACGTCTGAAAGCAATTGAATTTTCTCTAGATTATATCTAAAACAAAACCTTACGAATCAGATAACTTATGCTTTTGTGAGTGAGAGCATTATACGTATCCCAGAAACGTCGTTCTCCAGTTCTCCAATGGGCATCGAACTCCACTGGGTGTCATGCTGGCATATATTAGCCAATGAGGACAAGGCAAGCTGTTATTTGGATGTTCTTTAGTTATTTCGTTCAATTTTGTGCCTGAGTTGTGTGAGTGCACGTGCCTTCAGGGAAATAGTTTTAGAAATTATCATCTTTTGTTATGTCCGCGAGAATGAAATACTCGTGTACGTTTCAAAAATCGTACACAGTTGACTTTCCTTTTATTATTTCCTCAAGGAAATGTAATAAATTTGCGATGTGCACCGCCTGTCGTTGCGATTTTTCGAATTTGCAATGTGGAAGGGCGGATGTTCTCAAACATGTGCGAACACAAGGATAACATGAGTTGTTTTTTAAAAAAACGAAAAATTAAATTTTTCTTCGGAAACAAAGGACCAAAAAGTTATTAATGCAGAATGTCTTGTTCTCTGCCTTTTTACTGGAGCACAACCTGCCACTGAATGCATCGGATCACGCTGCAGCTTTATTTAGAAAAATTTTTCCCAATATGAAATTGCTAAGAAATACTCAAGTGCAAGAACCAAAACAGGTGCAATTGTTAAAGAAATGAGTTTGAAAAATAAATCTTCAGTTATTGATTGCACAAAACAGCTCCGTTCTGCCTCTCTACGGATAGAAGCAATAATACCGATTCCAATCTGTATCCAATTGTTGTTTCTTTTTTTAATCCAGATTCTTAAGAAATTGAGTGCAGTTTACTTTCTGTCCCCATTTTAGAAGGACATTTGACAGGCTTTAATATACCACAGCTAATTATTAAACTTTAAAAGAAAATGCAGGCCCTCTGGATAATTGCTTAGCACTTGGTGCCGATAATGCACCAGTATTGGTAGGCTTGAAGACTGGTGTTGCAGGCATCTTAAGAAAGGAAAATTCAGATTTGCAGATTATGAGGTGCACCTGTCACCTCTTAAATTTAGCAGCTGAAAAAGGGGCAGCTTCTTTACCAATAAATGTGGATGAACACATTGTTGATATTTATTATTATCTTGAAAGAAGTTCTAAAAGGAAGGAAAAATTGAAACAGTTCCAACAGCTGCATAACAGCAGTTTACAATTAGAAAACTTGAATGAAGTTATAAAATCAGCTAGGATTGACACCCAGTGGAGTTTAATTGGAAAACTGAAAGGTGCTGATGGAATTTTAAAATATAGCCAACTGTCTAGAATTGTGTTGGCCATCTTGACAGTTCCCCATAGTAGTGCAGAGTGTGAGAGGATTTTCAATGTTGTTGCGTAAACGAGGACTAAATTTAGATCTAATATTAGTGATGACACATTAGAAAAACTTTTCTTAGAGAAAGCAGGCCTACGTGTCAA